GACCCCAAAACAAAAGAAAAAAGCTTGTTGAGTATTTGGTGGGGAGGTTCAAAATGAAGAAGGAGGGACTCCACTTTAGGCATTGGACCTGGAGGCAAAAAAATAGCGTTTGGACTAAAAAATCACTAAGTGCCCATTGTTTGGGCAGCTGTAAATCAACCATGTTTCTATGAAAATAAGTCCTTTTCATGAGGCAGTTGTGTGGGAATAGCTAATTCTGGCCTGATGCTGTGCAGTGTGAAGTTAAAAACATGGTAACTTGTCACAACACAATTCTTCTTGTTCTTTCTGCTGTGGGCTGACTCGACATTACTCGCTTTGTTTGCTCTAGAATGGAATCTACTCACCATTTACTAAAATGAAATGCATTTCTTGGGGGAGGCAAAGTCCAGTTCACTAGGTCTTGCATCTTAAAGAGAAAGGAGCATTGCTCCCTCCAGGACTAATGTTAGGAATGTCCTTTGGCTTGTTGAAATCCTGATTGCTGTTCTGGAATTGGGTTTTGTACAAAAATCATACTCATTCCCCAGGTCTTGTTCCTAACTGAGAGAATTCATGAGACCTTAGGCAGTAGGTAAAGGTATTAGATGTAATAGGACAAAGAGCACAAGCCGTGTAATCAGACTGTAATGAAGTAATTTAATTAAGCCTTAGTTTTTTTTCTTATTTATTTATTTTTTGTTTGACTGTCTGGGTCACACCCGGCAACGCTCAGGGGTTAGCCCTGGCTCTGCACTCACGAATCACTCCTGGTGGTGCTCGGTCCCAAACCCAGGTCAGCCTTGGGCAAGGCAAGTGTCCTGTCCGCTCTGGCCCCAGTTTTCTTCTTTAAAAATTGAAACTAATGAAATTCAGTTGATAAGTTAGTACAGTGCCTGGCCTTGAACTTAGTCCTGTACTAAGTTCCTCCCCACAGGGGAAGTTCCTTTTCCTTTTCTATAAACTTTTTTATTTTGAAAAATAAAATGCAGTACCTGGCCTCAATAATTATTAATTTTCAACTGAATCATCCTTCGCATTTTTACTTGAAGCCAGTGATGAATTTATTCATCTTCGTAGGAGTTCATGTTTCTTTCAGGAGAAGAGGGAAGGATGGCCTTGAGAGCTCTACAGATTGCCCCACCTTTGACTAACATGCTTTATACAGTGGGCACAGCCTTCACCCGGGTGCCTCGAGGAGCTTCTGGTTTCCCCCCAGGATTTGTGGCTGCTTAGCCACTGCTACTGAAGAGAAAGCTAGATTTTCCCAGATAGTTTAGAACCTGATGTTTTCTTTGAATTTATTACTGCATTTCCTCACAGCAGTCTGACACGGCTGCTGGAATCTGGTGTTTGGAGGGCTTTTCTTCAGAGTTCTTGGCGTGTCTGCCCTTCCTGAATGCAGAGTTACAGCATGCTGTATACCATGTAGTGAGGTTACGGCTGATCCTTTTAAGTCTTGCGATTAAGGGGTCCTTAAGGACAGGTGATCTCTAGATCATTGTAATAATTGATATAATAAATTGCTCAAACATTTTTATCACAATTCAAATATGTAGGCATTCATTTCCTTTTTTCTTTTCACGTTTCTTCCCTCTGACAGAATATAAGACAGACACCCAGTTTGCTTGAGTTTTATTTTATTTTTACTTTATTTATTTAGGATTTTTGGGTCACACCTGGCAATGCTCAGGGATTCCTGGCTCAGCACTCAGGAATTAGTCCTGGAAGTGCTCAGAGGACCGTTATGGGATGCCGAGGATCAAACCTAGGTCTGCTGCTTGTAAGGCAATTGCCCTACCTGCTGTACTATTGCTTTGACCCCAGTTTGCTTGAGGTTTAAAAGGACTCTTTCTTTGTCCCACTTGAATGACCAATTAAGACACAAGTCTGATTGTCTGAGTGAGAAGGGGTCAAGATCATATTCATTTTCCTTCTTCTAGCAGCCTTTTCATGCTAGTAGGACTTTCCAGGACTGAGATGGAGGAGGATGCAAAGGGAGATGTCCTCAATAAGCAAGGCCGCTTTGCCAGTTTGTAGTTTAAGTAAAATCTCAAATCTCCCTATGGGTATCAACCCTTAGACTCAAGCTGTAGAGTCTCAAAGTTAAGAAATATGTGTGATGGGGGGCTGGAGCAATAGTACAGCAGGTAGGACATTTGCCTTGCATGCGGCCAACCCGCGTTTGATTCCCGGCATCCCCTATGGTCCCCTGAGCACCGCCAGGGTAATTCCTGAGTGCAGAGCCAGGAGTAATCCCTGTGCATTGCTGGGGTGACTCGAAAACGGAAAAGAAAAAAAAGTAATATGTGTGATGGGCCAGAGAGAGTACAGATGGGCACTTGTCTTGCATGCATTGACCCAGGTTCTAGTCCTGACACTCATTTGGTCCCCCAAGCCTAATCAGGAGCAATCCCTAAGTCCTGAGCACAGTCAGGAGTGGGCCCAAAACAAAACAGTTGAAAAATGTGAGGTCAGATTTAGTTCAGTCAGTTGAGTGTATGCTTTGCAGGCAAGAGCCCATGGTTAGTCCCTCGCACCATGTGGTCTTTGAGAATGACTGAGAACTGAGCACTGAGCTGGGGCCAGCAGGGAGCAGCACAGTGTGTGACCCCAAAACCAAAAAAAGAGAAAAAGGAAACAAAAGATAAGTAATTGTACTTAAAGTAGCAACCGGGAGACTCTCCAAGGCAGTGAAGAAGACTTCCCCCTGTGTGCCCAGTGGGGGAGGAAGGGGGGGGCAAAAAAGGACATTGTATTTAAATAGGCTTCTGGCTTCTCCTGGATTCTTTCTTGCAGTGTCCTGTGGGGCCCCTGGGGGAGGGGGCAAGGGTAGATGGATGTAACCTTTTTTTCTTAACATAAAAACATTCAGATAATTATGTTGCAGTAATTTTAGTAAAGAATTATTTACATATTTCTGTTTCGGTTGTTTTTTCTTGGTTTTTGAACCACACCTGGCAGTACTGAGGGTTTTACTCCAGGAATCACTCTTGGCAGGACTTGGGGGACCATATGCAGTGCTGGGGATTAACTGAAGCTAGGTAGGCACAGGCAAGGCAAGTGACTGCCCCACTGTACTTTCTCTCCAGCCCAGTCACTCTTTTAGTTGAGACATGCAGGTTATAATTGTGCTCCTTGTAATGCTCACACATGCAAAAGCCAAAAGTAGAACTTCCTGGCCGTGGTGCACATTTAGAGGGCTGAAGTCAGACCCCTTATTGTGATACTGGGGATTTCTGACATGGAGTCGGCAGGCTCAGACAGTAGAGCTCCCAGGGTGGTGCCTGACCCATGGGGCACTGGGACCTTATTGTTACAAGGTTGCAAGGCAGGTTCCCTAAACTCTATTCCTCTAGGCCAAGAATTACCTTTGTAATTAAATGTAGATAATAGAATGGTTTTGGATATCTTCTCTCCAGACCTGGTGATTCGGCCACACCCTGCAATATTCAGAGGTTACTCCTGGCTCTGCACTCAGGAATCCCTCCTGGGGGTTCTAGGGACCATATGAGATGCGGAGATCAAATCTGGGTCATCAAATCTGGATTGACCCCATGCAAGTGCCCTACCCACTGTACTATTGCTCCAGCCCCATGGTTTTGTGTATCTTTAATAGAGGTTACTTGTTCATTGTTCATTTATTTATTTATTTATTTATTTTTGCTTTTGGGGTCACACCTGGCGAAGCACAGGGTTACTCCTGGCTCTGCACTCAGGAATTACTCCTGGCGGTGCTCAGGGGACCATATGGGATGCTGGGAATCGAACCCAGGTCGGCCGCGTGCAAGGCAAACGTCCTACCCACTGTGCTATCTCTCCAGCCCCTCATTGTTCTTTTAAAACATTGTTGGTAGTGTGATATAATTCTCATTTCTTAGGAATATAATTTCCAATAGGGAGATGTGGTTCCCTGTTGTCTTACTATTTGTCTAATGACACCTCGGAGAAGTAAGTAGGTCTTGGGTTGGGATATGATAATAAAAAGCTGCATTTTATTTTTATTTTTGGGTCACATCTGGCAATGCACAGGGGTTACTACTGGCTCTGCACTCAGGAATTACCCCTGGGGATGCTGGGAATCGAACCTAGGTCGGCCTCATGCAAGGCTAACGCCCTACCTGCTGTGCTGTTGCTCCAGCCCCCTACTCTCTGGTTTTACAATACACTATATAAAGGTGGCAAAGGGGTTGGAACCAAATCAAATATAGTCTTTAAATACAGTGGGCAGAGGGCACTGCAGCAGATGGGGAGGTTCTTAGGGCTTGGCTCTGGTGCCTTTTCTTGTCTCCCTCTGATAGCCAAGTTTTTGGTCTCTGCTTGTTGGTCAGGTCTCCTTGAACATCCATGTTTTATTTATTTATTTTTGCTTTTTGGGTCACACCCAGCGATGCACAGGAGTTACTCCTGGTTCATGCACTCAGGAATTACTTCTGGCGGTGCTTGGGGGACCATATGGGATGCTAGGAATCGAACCTAGGTCGGCTGCGTGCAAACGCCCTGCCTGCTGTGCTATTGCTCCAGCCCCACACATCCATGTTTTAATACCTTTTGTCACCTGCTTTTTGCTCGTGTGTCCTTCCAGTGACAAACGGCATCAGGCACTTGAGCCACTAAAACCATTGAGAAATGAATTGCTCCTGAATAGAATTCTGACACTTTTTCTCTTTGCTAAAGAGGCAAGTGGGTATGACACTGCAGAGAGGAACAGATACAAAGGTTCGTTTCTGTGAGAGACCCTTCTCTAAGGGAAGTGACTGGATCTGGACAGCAAGGCAAGGCAGGCCGATGACAGGGGTGTTCTCTGCGTAGTTTGGATGTGTCTGAGACAACAGATAACACCGGGAGAACTTGCAGTAGCGCCTCCTTTATCAGCCCGTAAGACTAACCTGCATTCCTTCAAGTATCACACCAACTTTCAGCCCAGGTGCAGGGGATATGGCTCAAAGCTTTCTCCCTGAGCTTATCAGCGTTATTCCCCAGGTATATAGTAACATGTTTTTTCTCTCTTTCCTTTCCAGGGAAGCAGAGACTTTCAAGGAACAAGGAAATGCATACTATGCCAAGAAAGATTACAATGAAGCTTACAACTATTACACAAAAGCCATAGGTGAGAAGTAGAGCTTATTCTGGAAAATCACTTGTCAAATGTTCTTATAAATATTTCCTCTCTAAGAACTAGCCTTTTCCTTGGCAGGTTGATAAACTTACTCTAGACTTAGTGGTTTTGCATGAGATTGCTTTATTATTATTATTATTATTTTATTTAAGTTCAAGTGTGTTGCTGCTCTTTGGCAAATTAAGTGCAGAAATTCTAGGTAGTGGACAAAAAGCATGCACACCTAAGTGTAGCTCACAGTGACCACTTCATTTTCTCTCTGAGAAAGTAAATGGAGCTGGAGAGGTAGGACCAGGTGGAAGACGGCTTGCTCTGCGTGCAGCCAGCCCTGGGTTAAATTGCGACTTCAATATGGTCCCCAGAGCCACCACCAGGGCAGCTCTTGAGAGAACCAAAATAGCTTCTGAGCATCATCAAGTTTGTCCCAAACCCCCACCTTTTCCCCACAAAGAATAAAATGACCTTTGTAGATGATGTCAAGTCTTTATTACCTCTGTTCTCAAATTCCTGGCATATATATTTACTTTTGATTTGGGGGCCATACCCAGAAGTGTTCAGGACTTATTCTAAGCTATGTACTCAGGGCTCACGCCTCGCGGGGTTCAGGGTACCATATGGAATGCCAGGGATCAAACCCAGGTCAGCCGCAAGTAGGCAAGTGCTCTGCCCAATGTACTATTATTACTCTGACCCCTGCTACCATATTTTTTAAATTTTATTTTTATAAAGTTGTTCATGATGATTTATTACATTCAATATTCCAACACCAATCCCACTACCCTGACACCTTCTCACCATCATTATTTCCAATTTTCCCAACCACCACATAGGTTTACCCCAATAGCAGGCCCTAAAATAAATTTTTTTGTATTGCTTGTTATTAATAATACACTAAAAATGATCCCAAAAAATTTCTTAAAAAATAGTGTGTGAACTATTTTAAACTAAAATAGAGAGAGAACAAAAGGGAATGCCCTGCCACAGAGGCAGGGTGGGATGGGGGTGGGAGGGATGCTGGGACCCGTGGTGGTGGAGGATGGGTGCTGGTGGAGGGATGGGTACTTGATCATTGTATAACTGAAACCCAAGCACAAAAATTTGTAAGTCTTAAAAAAAAAAGTAATTTGACTGAAATGATGAAATAAATCTTATACTGCTGGAAAAAAATAACATCACATAGGAAAAAAATAGTGTGTGAAGATTGTTGTCTCTCACGCTGTAGCCATCAAGACCTTGAATAAGAGATTACTCACATATTATATTTTGAGCCTTGTGCGTTAATATTTTTTCTTAATCGAGATTGGTCGTCTTCTGCTTATATCGCATTTGATGTGGTGTGCTGATCCTGGTATATTAGTGGTGTAGAGTATGAGATGCTTCAGGAATTCTAAAATTTTGAATGGGGTAACACAGCTGCAGTTTTATATATATATATATATATATATATATATTTTTTTTTTTTTTGCTTTTTTGGGTCACACCCGGCAATGCACAGGGGTTATTCCTGGCTCTGCACTCAGGAATTACTCCTGGCGGTGCTTAGAGGACCATATGGGATGCTGGGAATCGAACTCAGGTCGGCTGCATGCAAGGCAAACGCCCTACCCGCTGTGCTATTGCTCCAGCCCCTGCAGTTAAATTTTTAACTGAATGATGACTTTAGGGTCCAGAAGCATCTCTGCAGCTTGTTGATCTCTTCTGAGATTTATTTATGAGTGTCTGGACCATGGCTGGTTGCTGAGTTTATGTGGCACCAGAGGTAGTTCGTGGGTGTGACTGCCAGCTGCCGTATTTTAATCCCTTCTTATTTTTCTCCTTAAATGTGCCTGTAGGCTCTCTTCCCCCCAACTCGACATGAAATTACTTTTATGTCTTGGGATATAAAATACAGTTTATTGAAAAGATAAATATGCTTGATCTGGAGAGGTAGTACAGAGGTAAGGTACTTGCCTTGCATAGGACTGATCCTGGCTCCAACCCCAGCATCGCATATGGTACCCTAAACATCACCAAGAGTGACATCTGAGTACAGAGCCAGGAAATAATCCTCAGCCTCACCAAGTGTGGCCTACCTTCCCCCACACCCTCACCCCACCCCACCCCCCAAAATTGTTTATTTTGTATAGGAAACAGGATTTGTTGAGAGTAGGAGGGACTCAGAAGGGGCAGCCCTGAAGCTTTCTGTAATGCAGTGCCCATCATTTGTCCTGAGGTTCACGATTCGGGATTTGATTCAATGCATCAGGCTGTATGAATCTGGGATAAGCCATTTTTCAGCCACCATCTCTTCCAGCTTATTCACATCAAACTCCATCACATCAAATGTGGATCTTCTGGTGACCAGGGCATTTGAGCATGGCTCTGCATAGCACTTCAGTCTCATGCTCCTTGTTCTGCAGCTTGGTGCAGCTAGAAATGATGACTTGGCTCCTGTGGACCCTGACCATCATGCCCTGGAACTTTCCAAAGGCATGTATTTGGAGCTGAAGATTGGCAGCAACATGAGGGCAGATAAGAAGTACACCACAGAGGGCTGCTTATACAAACAGCAGACTGCACACACTGCCAGAGGGCTGCTGTCTACCACCATTGCAACTGGGTTTTTGTTGTTGTTTTTTGTTTTTGTTGTTTTGGGTTTTGGGCTACACCCTGCAGTACTCAGGGGTTACTCCTAGCTCTGCACTCAGAAATTACTCCGGGCCATCTGGAATGCCAGGGATTGAACCCAGGTTGGCCACATGCAAGGAAGATCCTACCCACAGTACTGTCTCTCCAGCCCCCTCAAATTTTTTTAGAGAAAATTTTTATCTGGAAGAGGGTCTGTTCGGTTCACGCCTGGCTATGCTTAGGGGAAAGTCTAGCTCTGTGCTCAGGTGTTATACCTGGTGGTGCTGGGGGACCTTATGTGTGGCGCCAGGGATTGACCACATGCAAGGCCAGAACCTTATATCTTAATTCTCTTTCTGTTCCTAGATTTTTCTTTCTCGCTTTTTAAAACTTTCTCAATGTGTTCCATAATGCTGCTATCATTTGCACAGAATGTAATTCAGGAGTTGTGACCTTAACTCAGAGAGTGTTAGCATTCTTAGTTTGGTGGTCTTGGTATAGTTCTGAATGAGGTGGCCCCTGCTAGTTGAAGCTAAGACCTGTGCCAAACATTTATTTTTTTTTTGACAATCTTTTGCTTTTCTTGTAGATATGTGTCCTAAAAATGCTAGCTATTATGGGAATCGAGCAGCCACCTTGATGATGCTTGGGAAGTTTCGGGAAGCTCTTGGAGATGCACAGCAGTCAGTAAGGTTGGATGACAGCTTCGTCCGGGTACGTAATCAAGCTCTTTGGAAAGCACTGAGAGTCTGCAGTTGAGTTCCTGTAACCCTGGATTTCTCGTTCTCAGCACTGTTTTTGAGCCAGATCATTCTTTGTTGCTATTTCACGTATTCGTGTATTGTAGGATATAGGCTATTTTGTGTATTATAGGATGGTTAGCAGCATCTTTGACCATTAATCATTAAGTATTGGTGGCACCCTTCCCCTCCCCAGTTATGTTGGCAACAATGTCTCAGACATTGCTAGAAGCTCTGTCAGGGGCTGACTCATGCCCAGTTGAGATTCAGTGCTCTAACCATTTTCATCTCGTTTTAATTTTGTGTGGATGGTTATTGCCACACTTGATTTCTCTCCATGTCCAATCATGTCCCTAATTCTTGCCTGCTTCTATTACCTTTAGGGACATCTACGAGAGGGCAAATGTCACCTATCTCTTGGAAATGCCATGGCTGCAAGTCGCAGTTTCCAGAAAGCTCTAGAACTGGATCACAAAAATACTCAGGCACAGCAGGAGGTAAGGGTCCGATCGTCAAAAGAAGCAGTTTGGGAGGAAACATGATTTAAGGGTGAAAACTGAAATCTGGTCTTTTCCATCAATTGCACTTGGGTCATTCTAGGCAAACCTTGTAGTCACTTCCTTATCTGTAAAGAGGAGTTTTGAGTATGGTTTACAATTTCAGAAATATGTGAGAGTTGGATTTCTGGACTATCCCCCAATGTGCTAAAGGGAAAGACAGATGCTTTAAGGAACTTGATTTGAGTGAAGTTAAATACTTCAAGTAAATTCACATCCTGAATAAGTTAGTAGCACTGTAGCACTGTCCTCCCATTGTTCATCAGTTTGCTCAAGCAGGTATCAGTAACGTTCTACAACAGATTGTGAGACTTGTTACTGTTTTTGGCATATCGAATACATCACGGGGAACTTGCCAGGCTCTCCGAGAGGGGCGGAGGAATCGAACCTGGGTCAGCCTCGTGCAAGGCAAACACCCAACCCACTGTGCTATCGCTCCAGCTCGAATAAGTTAGTAATAGCTAAAAATGTGTTGTTTCATCTCCTTATATATTCAATTAAAGTATGAATTAATAACTTTATTAAGAACCTTAGACTTGCTGATCGAAAAATGTCTGATCCTTATTTTATGTGGCCTAAGGTGTGGTTCTTGGATTACTGGCTTTAGAATCAAAATGAGGGTGGAGGTTGGACTTTAGCAGGGCCTTGACTCTCACTTCTATCAACTCGATGTATGAAAAGTTTTATGGTTTTACTTTTTCTTGAAGGGACAGAGTGGTTCATTGACTCCACAGTTTCATTAAAGCTTTCCTTGTCTAATTCTCTGGTATAGTTCAAGAACGCTAATGCGGTCATAGAATATGAGAAAATAGCAGAAACGGATTTTGAGAAGCGAGATTTTCGAAAGGTAAAGTGCAACTAAAAAAGTCTAATCTTGCCTACCTTTTCTCATAAAAGGGTGTGTGGGGTGGGTGAGAGAGAATTCAAAGGTCTAACATTTAAATTATTACCTGTAATTCCGTTTTTTAGTCTCCCCCTCTTTCCCCCAGGATCATTGTAGGTTCATGGTTGAGTTAAAAGGAAGGTACAGTCACTTCCCATATATTCCCTGCTCACACACTATAGCCTCCCATTGTTAGCTACAACAGAGGTGCATTTGTTAGAACCAAGTTTCGGCAGTTAAGAATAAAGCTGCTAAAAATACCTGTGTTTAGGTCTTATGTGAACCTAAGTTTGCCACTCTTTAGAGTAAATACCCAGAGATAGGATTTTCTATGTGGTAAAGAGAATATCTTTGTTTAGTTTTGCAATAAACTAATAAATGCTATTTCAGAATGGCTTGTACCATTTTCCATTTTTAATGATACCATTTTCCATTTTTAACGGTGAATGAAATTTTCTGTTGCTCCATATCATCAGTAGATAATTTTTATTTTTCTCTTTTCACCAAAGTGTTTATTTTCGTATGTTTGACTTTACAATAAAAAGTAAAACAAGTTTGTTACCTGTGTTTGTTCTTGTTTTTCATAAAAATAGTGGCCTAAAAGTGTGCTGAATAATAAAGAGCCAGTTGGAATTAAATACTAGGTTTAAGGTAAATACTTTAGTTTGTTTGTTTTGCTTTTGGGTCACCCTGGCAGTACTCCTGGCTGTACACCCTTGGCGGTGCTTAAGGGGACAATAGGGGATGAATGCCAAGGACTAGACCCAGGTTAGCCGTTTGCAAGGCAAGCGCCCTTCCTGCTATACTGCTGCTCTGGTGCCCACCCTCAGTTTTTAAAAATTTTGTTAATTTAGGTTTTTGAGCCAAACCCAGTGGTACTAAGTGGCCGCTTCCACCTCCTGTGCTTGGAAGTTGCTCTCAGCAGGACTTCTCCAGGCCTCCTGCATACAGAGCAAGAGTACCCAGCCTGTTGACCAGTCCCTGAATAATCTATTTTTATTTGAATAATGAAAGCTAGCTTTATCTCCCCCACCCACCCCCCACCCCCCATCACAGAGTGATACTCAGGGGGACCTTTCCGTGCTGGGGATTAAATCCAAGTTAGCCATATGGAAACTATGCATCTGAGAGCCACCCTCAGTGGGGTTTTGTATTTTTTTTAAATTTTGGGTCACACCCGGCGATGCTCAGGGGTTACCCCTGACTCTGTGCTTAGGAATCACTCCTGGCAGTATTCAGGGGACCATATAAGATGCTGGGGATTGGACCTGGGTGGGCCACATGCAAGGCAGACACCCTCCTTGCTGTGCTATTGCTCCAACCCCCACATCAGTGTTTCTTAGTCTTTCTTTCATACAGTTCTCCTGGTCTTATGCCATTACCTCCATTTACAGTTTTTATCTGTGGATCCCTGGGAATACCCTGGGGCCAAATAAGGGGTCCAGGTGGGCTACATAACCTGTCGACACTATCTTTTTGATGTTAGACCTTTCTACAAAAACCTGCTAGTATCCTTATTCAGCTTTACTTCTTAGGACCAGAGATAGTACAGTCGATTCTTAACCCCAGATGCTGCATATGGTCTTCAGTCTGTGCCCGCAGGATCCCTGAGCTCAGTGATGGGAGTAAGCCCTGAGCATTGCTGGGTGTGGCCCTGAAACAAAAAGAAATATAAGAGTTTTATGTTCAAAAGAGTTGATAAATATGGAACATGGCAAAGATATGGCGGCCTTGGCAGCGTTCATAGTGATCACGTCTCCTTTGTATGTCCCTTCTTTAGAATGTATTTGGAATGAGCCCTCACCCGAGAATCATTTTTGTTGAATTTCTTGTTTTTTTTTTGTATGGTTCTAGAGATCAAACTTGTAAGCTGAAAGGCAAGCACTCTTATCACTGAACCACACATTCCCCAGCCCTGAGAAAATCATGTTTTTTTGTTTGTTTGTTTGTTTGTTTGCTTTTGGGTCACACCCAACGCTGCTCAGGGGTAACTCCTGGCTCTGTATTCAGAAATTACTCCTGTTGGTGCTTGGGAGACCATATGGGATATTGGGAATTGAACCCGGGTCAGTCACAACAAGGCTACGTGCCCTACCTGCTGTACTATTGCTCCAGCTCCCCAAATAATCACTCTTAAATCATGCCATGCAGGTCTTTTTATTTGGTAATGCATATATATATATATGTATATATATATATGATGAACTTATACAGATTTCCAGCATTAACTCATTAGCATTTCTCTTCATTTGTTTTAATAACCCCAGTGTCTTTTAATGTGACTCATAAGTTTGTTTTGCCTTTTTGTGTGTGTTAGAAAGCAATTCTGCCTCCTGTCACATTTTTGAGTTTGCATAGGCAAAAGCTTTGTCTCAAAAGTTGGTCTTTGGGTTTCTTTTCTCTCTTACTCATTCGTGAGCCAGAATCCCCAGTTTGTGACAGAATCCTCTGTTTGTGACATCCCAGCCCCCCTCACCCCCCCAACTGTAGCTCATGGTGATGTCACAAATGAAGAATTATGATCCTGGCAGGGGGAAACAGATGAACTTGGAAGAAACAAAGATCTTCTTTGCCTGCAGCTGTCCCTAGTCACAGGGAGGTGGGGGTGGGAGTGGAGCGCTGAGCCTCCCCGCTAGGAGCAGAATTGTCCCTGCACAGATCGAGCCGCAGTGGGTGTGGCTGTGTGCATGTTCACCGGCTGCTTCCCCCTTCTTCTGTTTAAGTTGGGAAAATTAGCTCTGCAGTTCTCCCCTACGTCATACCTGAATTTTCGCGTTGTCTTAGAACTCAGGCCAGAATTAGTGTTGGCAGTGAGGCAGCTGCCCGCTTGACTCTGAGGCTCTTGCTGGTGGGCTAGTTTCTGGTATTTGCCTACAGTCCATAGGTTCATTTGGTTTCTGTGCTCAGGGACTACTCCCCCAGTTTGGCGTTTCGGGGACACTGCTGGTGGTGGTTATGGGACCAAATTCAGGTCCCCAGCATGCAGAGCTTGTGTAGGAGGTCAAAGGCAGGCGCATGTTCTTTGAATGTGCAGACCCCAGGTTCAGTCCTGGGCCCTGAATAGAAGTAACCCTATGTGGCCCCTCCCGCAATTTTTTTTTGGCGGGGGTCAGGGGTATACCCAGAAGTGCTCAGGGCTTACTCCTGACTCTGTACTCAGGGATCGCTGGCAAGGCTTGGGGGAATCATGCGGGACATCAGGAACTGGACCCACCCAGGTCGGATGTGTCCAAGGCAAGGCAAGTGCCCTACCTGCTGTACCCAGTTCTCCAGCCTCACCAATTTGCTTTTGTCTTTGTTTATTTATTTTTTTGTTTTGGGGTCACCTGTCTGGTGATGCCCAGTGATTATTCCTGGTTCTGAACTCAGGAATTACTCTTGGTGGTACATGAGAGACTATATGGGATGCTGGAGATTGAACCTGGGTCAGTCACGTGCAAGGCCAGCACTATCTTTTGTACTGTGCCGCTATCCCCACCCACCCCCATCCCCAGTTTTTTTACGCTTGCACTTTAACTCTTTGATCTAACTACCTATCTCTTCCTCTTTTGGGTGCGGGGGGGGGGGGGGCAGGGGGAGGAAGCATACCCAGCAATGCTCAGGACTTACTCCTGGCTCTGCTCTCAGGGATCACTCCTGGCAGTGCTCAGTGGACCATAATGGGTGCCAGGGATCGAACCCAGGTCAGCAATGTGCAAGGCAAACACACTACCTGTTATACTATGTCTCCAGCCCCAACTTCCTTGTATTTTTAAAACTTAGGGCGCCTTCCCCCTTTTTGGAGCCATACCTAGAGCTGTTCGTGGGCTACTCCTGGCTCTTAGGGTGTTGCTCTGAGGAGAATTGGGGACCATGAGGTGCTGGAGATCAAACCCAGAACTCCAGGATGTAAAGCATTTCCTCTAGCCCTTTTAATGGTCTTCTCAGCCCCTAAATTCAGTTTTGTTTTGTTTTTTTTCTTTTTTGGGTCACACCCAGCAATGCTCAGGGGTTACTCCTGGCTCTGTACTCAGGAATGACTCCTGGTAGTGCTTGTGGGACCATATGGGATGCTGGGAATCAAACACGGGTCAGCCTCGTGCAAGGCAAGCACTCTCTTTGGCCGTACTATCACTCCAGCCCCCTAAATTCTAATTTTTAAGTAGGTACAGTTCATAAGTTCCAAAGCTAGAAAGTATAAGCAAATGCTCATAAGCAGTGTTACCGCAGACATGGCCGTTCTCCATCTGCCTCACCCCTTAGATCATCTATTGTTTTCACTTCTCCTATGTCCTTCCAGTTCTGTTTTACATAAGTAAAAATGGTCTTAATTTTCCTAACTTTTGCTGAAAATATAGAGTTCTGAACTTTGCTTCCCTTTTTTTTTTTTAAACAGACCTTCAAAGCCTTTCTAGAGTAGCACTTCTAAGGCACAGTATATGAACATTTTCTAACCAGTCTCCTGGTACAGAATTTGAGTTATTTCTGCTTCTAAATTTCTGAATTTCATTTTAAAAGAAACTTTATCCAGATTCTTAGAAGAATTTGTTGTCCTGTTAACTCGAAATTTCTCCTCTTGGTCAGTTGTGCTCTGAGGAGAATTTGGTTCAGCAGAATCTCCTAGGAATAGTTGCTAAACCAAAATGAAAGCTCAAAGATCAAACTTCTAAAAAGAGAAAATGGAAATATGTGGAGGGCCTTAATAAAGCTGAATGAATGAACTAATTCTAATTTTCTCTCTCTCCTACCCACCACCCCCACCCCTGGCTCTGTTAGAGACTTGACTTGGGGTTATATAGCAACAAAATGGGTATATCTGAATAGTCTATTTAGGATGATTTAAAATGAACCATTTTATTTTATACACGCGCGCGCGCACACACACACATCAGTTTACTGTTTTTTAATATATTTCTGTACCAAAGTTGAAATGGTAGAATGGTCACCAAGGTAATCAGTAAAATGTGACATTCATTGGTACAGGAAGAAGTGAACTGAGCAATTTCGGAAGCGGGGAGCATTGATTTCATATCAAATTATTTTGCTGTTCCCTTGTCAATGGTTTATTCAAATGAGCTAGACATGTTCTTAAACTGATTGTACATTGTTTCAATTCTGTGAATTTGCTCCCTGTGACCAAATGAAAGTGAAAATGTTTCTAGAATCCAGGAAGAAGAGTCTTACAATGCTTTCTTCCTTCCCATAGGTTGTCTTCTGCATGGACCGTGCCCTAGAATTTGCCCCTGCTTGTCATCGCTTCAAAATTCTCAAAGCAGAATGTTTAGCAATGCTGGGTCGTTACCCAGAAGCACAGTCTGTGGCCAGGTATGAAGTCAGGCCAGTTTTGTATTGAAATGCTGGGTATCACTGGGCCACGCTGTTTGGCAGCTCTCCCTTAGGAACTGCCGTATGTTTTGTAGATAGGCTAGTTTGGGTAGATCAGACCTTCCAGAGACTTAAAGCCAAAGGTCACACTGCATTTGAAAATCCCTAGGATTATAATAGGTGCTGGAACTCGGTGTGAAAAACAGGTGTGTGATTTTTTTGTTTGTTTTAATTGCTTTTTAAATGTAGTCCTTATCCTCTCTCAGAAGATTACAAACTCCATAAAAGGCCAGATAGCAAATGTTTTGAGTTTTACTTAGCCGTACCTCTTAACTATTGAATCCCGCCATTATAATGTGTTGTGTCTATAAAACTGTAAAGTTTTATTTACAGAAGCCAGTGGTGGGTAGAATTTAGCTCTGTCAGCTTAGTTTGTCAGCTTCTGTTCTGAGAAAGATAGTGAGAGGCCAGAAGCATATTCAAGGTCAATATAGGTGGCTTATTTTGCAGACAGGTTCCTGAGAATCTGTCTGCCCTTAAATTCTTTCCATACTAGATGACAAGGTCAAGAATAAAACTAACCACAAGTAATAGAAGTGGTAAGAGCCAGACCATACTGAACATACCCTTCTTACCACCCCCCACCCCCCATTTTTGTCTTTGTTTGGTTGTTTTTGGACCACACTCCTGGCTCTACATTCAGGAATTACTCCTGGCAGTGCTTGAGGGACCATTTGTGGTGCCAAAAATCAAACCTGGGTCAGCCATATACAAGGCAATCGCCCCACCTGCTGTGCCATCTCTCCAGCCCCTAAATGTGTTCCTTTCTATCTCTTGCAGCGACATTTTGCGAATGGATTCCACCAACGCAGACGCTCTGTACGTACGAGGTCTTTGCCTTTATTATGAAGATTGTATTGAGAAGGCAGTTCAGTTTTTCGTTCAGGCTCTCAGGATGGCCCCTGATCACGAGAAGGCCTGCGTTGCTTGCAGAGTAAGTTCTAGACACCAGCCATGAATGGTACAGAAAGATGTGAGCTTTTAAGATTAGAGTGAAAGATTTTAGAATCACAAGGAACATGTCTTCTGCTGCTTTGTCAGGATGTTTGGTAAATATGATCACACAGGCTCTGAACATTTTTCTTTGAGTCATACTTGGCAGTGCTTAAGGGGTTACTCCTGGCTCTGTGTTCAAGGATCACTCCTAGTGGTTCTCAGGGGACCATTTGCGGCGCTGGGGTCCGACTTAAGCTTGGCTGCGTGCAGGGCAAGAACCTTACCGCTGTACTCTCTTTCTCTAGCCACAGAACTTTTTCCTTTTCACAGTGAAGAAAAGCTAGTAATGCTTATCTTAGGAGGTGGAAGTAAACTCTGACTGACCCAGTTGTCATTGGTACTCTTTTTCATTAATAGTTTTTCCCTGTCCACTCTGTAGGATGCACTTGTGAGCACAACTAGCCCACGTGTGCATGGTGGCAGGAAGGGGGGTGGCCTGCGTGGTGCTAAACCTTTAGAATTTGGGAAATTGGAAATAGATTCTGATTATCTTTGAAGTAAACTGACTCTGGGGTACTGATTTAATTGCTTTTTTTCCCTGTAGAATGCCAAAGCACTTAAAGCAAAGAAAGAAGATGGGAATAAAGCGTTTAAAGAAGGAAATTACAAGCTAGCATATGAATTGTACACAGAAGCCCTGGGGATAGACCCCAACAATATAAAGACAAATGCTAAACTCTACTGTAATCGGGGTACGGTTAATTCCAAGGTAAGCTCTTGATTTATGTCTTGGGGTATATGGGGCTATTTTTAAGGAACATCAAGAAGTATACAGAATATATAGAAGTATAGGGAATACAATATGTCCATTGTAAATTGTTGAGGAGAGGTTTTGGGTTTTAGCTTGTTAGCTTTTTTCTTTCCTGCTACTTTTGTGCCTGAGCACGTTGCTTCTTTTTTTTTCTATGTGTGATGTGAAGGGAATTCAAATTAAAAGGTTGGCCTTGTTTTTTTTTTTCTCCAGCATAACTAATGGTCACCATGCTTATTTGAAAATAGGGTGGGGCTGGAGCACTTGGGAATTACTCCTGGCAGTGCTTGGGGTATATGGGATGCCGGGAATTGAACCTGGGTCAGTTGCATGCAAGCCTACATACACCCTACCCACTGTTCTATCGCTCTGGCCCCTCTTTTTGTTGTTGTTGTTGTTGTTGAATTCACACAGTGTTCACATCCTACTTTAGAGGTGTGGGGCAGAGAAATTTGGCATCAAATTGGCGATGACCATGCAGTGAAATTTGGGATTCTGAAGCATGTTCACAGCTTCTGGGCTCCCCTCTTCTCCAAAGATGTGGGGTATGACTGCTCTCTCTCTCTCCTGAAGCTTAGGAAACTAGATGACGCCATAGAAGACTGTACAAATGCGGTGAAACTTGATGACACGTACATAAAAGCCTACTTGAGAAGGGCTCAGTGGTAAGTGCCTGCGGCAGGCAGGGAGGGGAACGGCAGCTGTCACTGCCAGTGGGACCGCATCATGGACCCTGGGATGGTGTGAGGTCATTTGGTCCTTCCCCACCTTTGAGTGGGATTGTTCCAGCCCTAGACACTCTTTATAGACAGACCTCCGGTGGAGAAGACGGCCCACGTTCCCGTCTCCCGTGCCTATGCCTAAATGCCCCTCACAGTTGGTCCATTTCTTATGATGCCTGACCCAAATCCCTTTTGTGAAAAGGAAACCCCGGGCTGGGGAGAGAGCAGGCTGAGTGCGCACTTGGCCGGCAGGAAGGTTCAAGCTCCAGCACCACATATGGTTCCCTGAGCATCTGAGCCAAGAGTAGTCCCTGAGCACAACTGGATGAGATCCCCAAAACAAGGTTAAGCCCGTTACCTGTGGAGCTTTCATACTGCATGCTGTACTTTGTACTGGGCAATGCTGACTCAGTAAGTACTTGGTTGGATGTATGGTACTTGGTAGAGGAAAGAAGTCTGGCAGACAGTTACCCTGTTTCTTCTGGGTTAGAGAAAACGAGTTTTATGGAGGGGAGAAGGAATTGTTGCTGCCAGCGGGACTGTGTCATGGACCCAGGGATGTGTGGGGTCTTTTGGTCCTTCCCCCTGCCTCTAGGTTTATGGTTTTTATGGTTAGAAGGGATTTAATCTGACTCTGCCTCCCAGCTGTATGAGGAGCCCCCTTTTGAGATCTCCACCAGAGTGGGTGATCCATTTCCAGAGTATTTCCACCTCCAGCATCCAGATTTGCCTTCTGAGTCGGTGCCCCTAGCGCTCCTGTATCTGACTCTAGAATCCACCTGACTCCTCACCTGGAGCTTAAAGGCTAGGAGAGAACTGCCCAGGGATGAGCATCCTGTGTTTAAAGTCCCTGGAAGACCTAATTACTGTGACCAGCACTCATTTCATTCCATATTTTGAAATATAATCCTCAGAGACCAAAGCTTTGACAGACGCCTGAAGGTTCGTTAGCTTCCATTCTCGGTGGTACAGAATGGAGTTTACTGCCTGACGTATGGTTTTCCCAAAAGCATCTGCTCTTGTTCTTTTTCTTTGTTTTTCAGACCACCCAGCGATGCTTAGGGATTATTATCCCTGACTCTGCTCAGGAGTCACTCCCAGACATGCCAGGGATTGAACCAGGGTCAGCTGCCTGCAAAGCAGATCTCTTAACCTTGTAATGACCTCTCTTTTTTTTTTTTTTAAGAATGGAGAAAGAGCTACTGTGTGGGCTCTTTTATTTTTAAGTGAATTTCTAAGTTTCAAATATAAAAATAGAGGGGCTGGAGCGATAGTACAGTGGGTAAGGCATTTGCCTTGCACACAGCCAACCCAGGGTTTGATCCACAGCACCCTATATGATCCCTGAGTTATCTCGGAGTACGGCCAGATGTGACCCAAAAACACAAAGAGGAAAAAGCACTGTAGCACTGTCCTCTGTTGTTCATCGATTTGCTCGAGTGGATCCAGCAATGTAACTATTGTGAAATTTGTTGTTACTGTGTTTGGCATATGGAATACGTAACGGGTAGCTTGCCAGGCTTTGCCGTGCGGGCGAGGTACTCTCGATAGTTTGCCGGGCTCTCCGAGAGGGGCAGAGAAATCAAACCTGGGCTGACCGGGTCTGCCGTGTGCAAGGCAAACGCCCTGCCCACTGTGCTATCGCTCTAGCTCCAAAGGGGGGAAAAAATAGAAAAAATACCTAGAATTCTGTATTTTGTGAGACCACCTGTCAATCACCTTTAGAGAGCAACTATTCAATGTGGAAGGTTTGAAAGATGTATGAATACCCTTTGCCCGCGCTCCAGATTTATTTTAACAGAACACAATGTTCCATACACAGTGTTCCTTGTACTGTAATAGTAAGAAAGGAAAATCCCCTCTCTGGATACATGACGTTTGGAATGCTCTGAACACAGAGTGGGAAGAGAAGAGGAAATTCTTGATACGATGACAATGTGATGAAGGATTATTTTCTTCTCGTGTACAATAACACAAATCAGGAATTGCTCTGAGCAGACCCACCCTTATGTTTTTGGTAGGAAAGAACAGTCCTGGATCCCAGGATGTGCTGAGCGCGCTGGTGGAACAATTGAGCCAGTTCTTGGCAGCTGGGATGGACGAAGTGCCTGAGATTAGTTCAGGCCAAACCTTACCAGAGGCCTGTCACTGTTTATCCCCTAAAGTTGGGACAATACTAGATTTTTGCTACAACTCTGATCACTGCTGGAGAGCTCCACTTACTACTCTCTCCAACACTGGGGGGAAAAAAGTAAGGCTATCATTGAGTTATTCAGCCACTGAGTTGGGCATGAACTCCACCTTTTTTTTTTTTTTTTTTTTTATAATTTTAGCAATTACAAAGCTTTTGGGTTTAAGTCTCGGTTATACAATGAAACACCCATACCTTCACTAGTGTCCATTCACCACCACCAAAAACCCCAGTATACCCCCATCCCAAACCCTCCCCTACCTGTGGGGCAGATGATTTCCACATTGCTCTCTCTCTACTTTGATTACATTCAATATTTTGACACCAGACCTACCATTATTATTTGGGATTTTACCCCAACACTCAGATCTGCTGAAAAGGCAAGAGTAGACAATGTTTACTATTGCTGGTTATGGATAACATATAATGTCGCGTAGCTGCAGTAGTGGCCACACGATTTTGAAATTCTGAAATTTTAACAATTCAATCTGGAGGGATTTCTTGCAAAACCTGCTGGGTTCCGAGATTTGTTCCTGAGTCACTTACTTGGATCATGGTCCTTAAGCAGCTTGATCAGGAGCCAGAAAGGCCGTTTGTGGGCGGCGACTCGGGGTCTCATTGGGGTGGGAGGGAAAGGGCCGGCTCCACCCTCATCCCATGAGGCCCCACGTGTCTCGTCACTGTGGGCCCAAACCTGACTGTCCAGTGGCCTCTGGAGGATGGCGGCCACCAGGCCTCCAGGGGGAACAGGCCAAGGCATGAAACCTATTCCTACCTGGGGTGGCCCAGCACCAGTAACCTACTGCAGGGACTGGATGCATTTCTGCCAAAAGCCGCTGGGTTCCATGATTTGTTTCTGAGTCGCTGGGAACATGGCCATTAAATGGCTTGATCAGAAGCCAGAGAGGCCGTTTGTTGGCGGCAACTCGGGGGTCTCGTTGGGGTGGGAGGGAAAGGGCCGGCTCCATACGCATCCCATGAGGCCCCACATGTCTCATCACTGTGGGCCCAAACCTGACTGTCCAATGGCCTCTGGCAGATGGCAGCCACTGAACCGCCAAGGGGGAGCAGGCAAAGGGACAGCACCCTTTCTCCCCTGGGGTGGCCCAGCAACAGTAATCTACTGTGCATTCTGGATGCATTTCTGCCAAAAACTGCTGGATTCCGAGATTTGTTTCTGTGTCTCTGGGATCATGGCCGTTAAGCAGCTTGATCAGGAGCCAGAGAGGCCATTCGTGGGCAGCGACTCGGGGTCTCGTTGGCGTGGGGGGGTTGGACCAGCTCCATCCCTATTCCGTGAGGCCCCATGTGTCTCGTCACTGTGGGCCCAAACCTGACTGTCCAGTGGCCTCTGGAGGATGGCGGCCACCAGGCCGCCAGGGGGAACAGGCCAAGGCACGAAACCTGTTCCTACCTGGGGTGGCCCAGCACCAATAACCTACTGCAGGGACTGGACGCATTTCTGCCAAAAGCCGTTGGGTTTTGAGATTTGTTTCTGAGTCTCTGGGATCATGGCCGTTAAGCAGTTTGATCAGGAACCAGAGAGGCAATGCCTCCAATTATATAGCTGAGCCGGAGGTGGTTTGTGGGTGTGTCTCCCACATACCTAACTTTTGGCCATTTACTTTCTTGGTAAACTTTGCCCCAAGTTTTAGGGGTCTGGCCAAAGGCACAGCAGCAATTTTGGGGTATCTGGAAGTCTGAAGGCACCATCAGGCTGCTGATGCACTCGCCTCACAGGTACAGATTGACTTGCTGGCGGCACCATGCCCCCAGAAATCTAATATTAATAATAATAAATAAATGAATAAAAAGCCATGTCTCTGGAATGTGAGCTTATAACAGTTTGCCGCACTCCCAATAGCCCTAGATCTGCAGGGTATTGGTTTTGTCACAGTTTGTGTTTTTCTTGGCCACGGGTTGGGGGCTGGGGGGCAGGTAGAGATATAGCCATAACAGTAGCTGCCCCTGCCCTGACCTCAGGCCTAGTGGGCTTGAGGATTTGGTTGTCGTGTCGCTGGAGCACCAGGCATGATCTGTGGGATCCTTGGGCCAGTGTTTGAGCCAGGGAGTTCCCAGGATGTGGAAAGTGAGTCAGGGCTCAGTATAGCTGGAGCTTATTTGATCACCAGTCAAAAAGAAGAGACATTTGAAAGGTCTAGCAACAGCTGAGCTGGCAGAATCCCTCCTGCGCCCTCTCAGGCCTCCTTCCTCCCCTCCTTCACACTTCTCAGATTAGAAGCAAATCTCCTGTTCTGTCAGAGCTTCACGTGCATCTTTGGATTGCTGGTTTTTTTTTTTTTTGCGGAGCTGCCAGCACCATGAGCTTACCCTTCTCGGCCCACTAATCCCACATTTCTGGGGTGGAGTTAGCGCTGCATCTGGGTTTCAGAGCCCCTTCGGGACTGTAGGTCTCACTTCATACTATTTCTCTCGTGTGTTTGATCTCAGCTGATCAAGTGGGTGCCATCACCCACAAGGCAGTCGTGAGGCCGCTTGGTAGTTCTGTGTGAGTTGGGGGGTTACTTTCTCCCCTTGGTTGCCCTGCTTAAGCAGAGGAGCACTTTGCTGAAACCTGCCTGTCCATTTCTCTCCTTGCTCACCCAAGTGCGCCTGTTTCATACATCACAGCCCAAAGTGTACTGCTGACGTGAACCGTGCAGCATCCTCTAAGTGATACGAAAGGCCTTTGCCATTTATGTCTGAGCACTGTGCTGCCCTCTATTTCCTTCTCAGTTACATGGACACAGAACAGTATGAAGAAGCAGTGCGGGACTATGAGAAGGTGTATCAGACGGAGAAAACTAAAGGTAAATGGGTTTGAGAGCATCTGTTTCTCAGGAGACGGTGCTGTCTGGCTTGTCCGGCCTGAAGCTGGGCCCCGGAGTAGTTTGATTCAGGGCTCAGGTATATCTGGAGCGTATTTGATCACCAGGGAGTGACCCAAGATCCTGGGTTTGCCACAGCTCCTCTTTGCTGGTCCCGATCCTCCCTCTCACTTTGACTCTCCTCCCTGTGTGGTGCGGCTGCTGTGAGGAGCATCATTTGGGTAGATGTTTTCAGCTCCAGAAGATAACAGCCACAGCTTTTGATGGGGTTCGCAAAGTTTCTGACTCCACAGCAGGAACTTTCCTTCCCTGGCCTGCCACCCAGTGAGGGAAACCAGATTGAGATTTGTCCACTGACTCTGGATAACTCCCTCTAGAACATAAACAGCTCCTGAAAAATGCACAGCTGGAACTAAAGAAGAGTAAGAGGAAAGATTACTACAAGATCCTGGGCGTGGACAAGAATGCCTCCGAGGATGAGATCAAGAAAGCCTACCGGAAACGGGCCTTGATGCACCATCCAGGTAGAGCTGGGGCAGGTGCGGGGGCTCTGGGTAGAGCAAGCTAGACAGGCCTGCACCAAATTCCATGAAGAGCCCAGTTCCAGAATCAGGCTAGAAAGGGCCACCTGCTCAGCCTTCCTTCCTTGGGCTGGAGAGTGCAGACTGTGTATACTGGGGCCTGGAATCAGTCTAGAGACACCACATGGTCCCTGGAGCATGGAATTGGGACTAGTTCTGTGCACCACCAGGTGCGGCCCCAAAAAATAATAATCTGAGTTCTCCTACTCTTCCTGGTAGATCGGCACAGCGGAGCTAGTGCTGAAGTTCAGAAGGAGGAGGAGAAAAAGTTCAAAGAAGTCGGAGAAGCTTTTACCATTCTCTCTGATCCCAAGAAAAAGACTCGCTATGACAGTGGACAGGACCTGGATGAGGAGGGCATGAATATGGGTGGTGAGTCTGCATGCTGTGGAATGTTCAGATTTGTTCTAAAGACACTCCAGAGGAAAACTTCTTTAGTCAGTGGTACACAGAGATTTCTAAAGAGTCCCCTTGGTGAATAACTAATGTGTGAGGCACTGTGGGCTGCTGGGAGTGACAGATGAATCACACGGGTTCTTGGCCGCCAGGAACCAGTCTAGGATTTGCACGCTCTGGCCCATTGACCAGATCTGACCCCCGACATCTGATGTGAATTTCAGCCAGATACAGTCAAGTGTAGCCTGTGGTCAGGGAATAGGTGGAATACCAAGTTGCAAGGTACCATCATGAACAGAGGCAGGAAGGACAGCACCTTTGAGGAGCTGTCGGAGTACAGAGAGCTAGGAACAGTGAGGAGAGGCAGGACCAGGTCATGAGACGGGGCCAAGGTGCAGGGACTAAGGTGTTTGCTTCACACACGTCCGGTCGAGGTTCGAATCTCCTGGTACCACCGTTAATCCCTGAGCACCTCTAGGTGTGGCCCCATCAAAAGTAAAAGTAGCTAGATCAGACGCCAAAAGGACTGAGGGGCTGTCCTGAATAGTTTTTTTTGTTTTGTTTTTGTTTTTTCTATTCACCAGCCATTCTTTTTCATCATAGCATATCACGATCACGTGCTCTTGAAGACCTCACAAATTTCCTTTTTCCCAAAAGACATAGAATGGAGTGAAGCCCAGTTCTCAGGGCATTGCTTCTTCATGAGCTCCATGGAGGAAAAGGGCTTGGGGCTGCCTAGCCTTGTGGGAGGCCCTGAGGTGGATCCCAGGCGCCTCGTGGCCTCCAACTACCCAGTGTAGCCCCCACGCACAAAACTGGCCTGAGCATCACTGATGGTCCTGATTAAAATAGAGTCAGGGAGATAGCGCAAGTGGTGGAGCACTTACCTAGTATGTGCAGGACCCCAAATATGGACCCCCAGCATGGCCAGACGCAGTCCTCGTGGCCTGAGCATTGCCCTATACCACGTAGTGGAGCTCAGCTGGGAGGGGCCTCTCCTAAAAAGAAAGTTCTCGGCTTTCTGTCTCTGGTGGCCGCCCTTTCTCCTTCACCATGAAAATCTACTTTAAGTAGATTGAAAAAATGGAAGTAACTGGTGTGGGTGTCTGTCTGTCCGAGCAAACACAAGTCAGACGTACGTGTGTGTGTGTGTGTGTGTGTGTGTGTGTGTGTCTGTGTCTGTGTCTGTGTCTGTCTGTCTGTCTGTCTGTCTGTCTGTCTGACTGAGCAAACATAAGCCAGACCTGGGTTTTGTGTCCAGTGCTCCGTGTTTCCCCAGGGCACCATCTGGTCCCATCCTTAGGCCCTACTGGAGTGTCCCTGACCACCCCAAGGGCCTTAATGAGCCTCCTGGGTTGCATCAGGCCAGCCCTCAGCCACTTCCTCCCTGTGCTCATCAGCATGTATCAATCACAGTGGCAGTTTGGGGGAGTGTGGGAGGAAAGCTGGGGGTGTCACTCCCAGTTGAAAAGAGGCCGGGCCTCTTTTGAGGCGGAGAAAGTTTGCTAGGGAGAAGGGAGCACATCCTCCCTCGGAGAGTAGCCAGGTGCGAGCTTTGGTGCGGGGCAAGTCCACCCGCCTCAGAAGTCTGGGGGGCGGGGGGGAGCAGCCCTGTCTGGCGGCTGTTTGCTCTTCACCCGCTTATTTTCCCATCCCCTCCCTCCCCCTCTCTCCCTCTACAGACTTCGATGCAAACAATATCTTCAAGGCGTTCTTTGGCGGTCCTGGGGGATTCAGCTTTGAAGGTGGGTGTGTGTGTGCTGTGCTGGGGGCTTCGGGATGGGGGGGCGTGCAGGGAGGCAGCTCTAGGTGAGCTGGAGGCTGCTCAGAGACACATACAGGCACATGTGCTCAGCGTGCTCAGAGGCCACTCGCTCACACTGTTCACAGTGGCCCTTGCAGGCTTTTCTGTACTCGAGCAACTTAGAGCGACCTTCCTTCGGGAACACAGAGCCCACTAACTGGCCGTCTTTTCCTTTGCAGCGTCTGGTCCGGGAAATTTCTTTTTCCAGTTTGGCTAGTGAAGGGAAACGAGCCAGACCCAGAAAATGCAGACTTGCTCAGTGTAACCTTGAATGTGGACACAATTGCCCTGCTCCCTTCACCATGACTCCACGTGCTAGAGCAGTTTCGTTTTCTCAGTTGGATCCCGTGTCTGTGAGTGGGGTGAAGGAAGAGCCAGCGCCCAAGACTGCGGGGAGGGGAGGGAGGCGGGGGGCGGACAGGGAGGCAGCTTGTGAATTTTTTGTTTTACTGTTTAACTTTATTAAAAAAGGAAAAAAAAATTAAAGAGAATAAAAATGTTTTGACCATTTCCGGCACTTTGCTCTGGCAGCTACTTTGTGTCAGGCCAGAGTCAGTGAGCCAGAGCTGAGCCCGCAGCCAGGATCAGAGGTGGACAGGGACGTGATAAGGCACGCGCCCCCCCAAGAGCTGTGGGTGCCCACCTGTTGGCAGGTAGAATGCTGCTGCGCCCCGCCTGAAGGCAGTTACGGGAGGGGTTCAGCTTATCTTACAGTGGGGCGCATACATGCAGGGATGGTGGCTGGCGGGCTGGGCTGGTCTGGAAGGTTTAGGAGGGAGCCACATCCGGTGCTGCTCAGGGCTTACTCCTGGCTCTGCACTCAGGAATCACTTCTGGCAGGGCTTGAGGGAACTGAGGGGATGCGGGGGGATCAAACTCAGGTCCGCTGCATGCAAGGCAACACCCTGCCCACTGTGCTGTTGCTTGGGTCTGGGAGTTGACACAGGCTCTTGAAATGCCTGCACAGGCTCACAGGGGTCAGAGATGAGAATTGATCCTGATGCTCAGATCTCTCCTGAGGAGACTAACAGCTCCTGGGCCAGACAGTGACTCCTGTGGAGGAAGCCCCTTTCTTATCCCCAGGGCCAGCAGGGGCTGCAGGCAGAGTGTGCCTTTGAAAGTGACAATCTAGCTGGACAGTCTAGCTGTCGCAGAGATGGCTGGGGAAGACCTTGAACCAAGTAGGATTATCAGATTATAATGTGATGTACTTTCTAGCCTCCGCCCCTTTCCTTCCTTCTGGTGTCTCCATTAGCATCAAGGCCACAGCCAGGCAACCCATCAGGTCTGGGAAATGCAACAGAGCTGTCCAGGCCCCTGCTGCTGGAAGAGGCACCCCATACCGGGAGCTCCTGCATTTGCAGTATTGAGGGGGCTGGGCGAGTGGGAACTCCGGGTTTGGCTGAGAAGTTGTGGTGCATTGGGCCAGACGCACCTGAGGGTCTGTGGCCAGCCATTGATGGGGGACAGGCTGGTGCTGCATGTGGCCCAGCCCCCAGGGCCTCTCCTTCCCCATGAAAGCCACACTGTTCGGCTGCCCCGCCTCACCACAGCTGGGCCCAGCCAGCGCGGGAGACAGGACCGATGGCCCCAGCTGGGCCGGAGGGCGACAGAGACTGCACACAGCCGGGATTAACGTGGTTTATTCATTAGCAGTCTTACAGGTCGCTGAGGTTGGGCAAAGCCACCATAGTAACTTAAGTCCCAAGCACTTTTGTCGGGTGACATCCTGATTAGCAAGGCCCTGTTAACCGAGCAGAGTAGTGGGGTGGGGGGACAGCATCCCAGAGACCACAGTACACATGGCAGTGTTAGTTCCCTTCCCAAAGGCACCTGGTTAGGCTTGGACCTTAATAGCCCAGAGGAGTCCGTTCCATCAGCCCTTACAGGAGGCACTGAGGCTTCCCGAGGCACCAAGGAGACAGGATGGCTGGGTGGGTAGCAAAGCTGGAGCTTCCCCCTGAGGTCACACCTCTGGCCTCCATCACAGCACCACACTGCAGGAGGGAGAGCTTGGGGGGGCCAGGAGGTGGCCGGGATGGGCTGCTATTGCCTGTCTTCTTTCCTAGCTACCACAGTTACCTGTTACGGGGTGAAGCAGGGGACAGAGGTCAGGTGGAAAGCCTGGCAGATAACCCCACCTCCTTGGGGCTGTGCTGATTAGGGAATGGGCGGGAGCCCAGGGACCCTCCCCTCAACCCCACCACTGTTCTCCATGGCCGTGGAGACCGCCGTGTAGGGCCCTGCGGCTCTGACCAGAGTGGGGGACAGGCAGGCACAGGGCGGCTGGGGGGGCTCCAAGAACTGGAGCAGGACTCGGTGGCGGCTGTGGCACCAGGCCCAGCTCAGTCTGACCTCATCAGCTTGGGATGAGGTCCCTGGAGGGCAGTCTGCCCACCCCGCTGTGCATACAGCTGGAGGGTTAGAGGGGAGACGTGCGTGGGAGAGGGGAGCAGTTACTTCTCCTTGTGTCTAACATTACCGGAAGGTTAACGTGGAGTAACAAAAAGAATCTGAAAACCAAGCTCGAACAGGGTACCACCTCCACTCAGAGTGAGAGGCTGAGGACGCCTGCTCAGAGGATGGCACAGGACAGCACAGTGTGCCCCCTCTGGCCGCCGTGGGTGGGCACGGGCTTGCCCTTCCCATAGTAGCCCGTGAAGATGGCCCTGACCTCCATCTTCTTGGCCAGGTTCAGCATCCAGCGCCCGTTGCCCAAGGAGTAGAGCTTGCCTCGGGCCAGCTCACCCACCTCCTCGCCCTTGGTCCCCCCCTTCTCCTGCCGCACGATCTCCAGGAGGTCGATGCCCGTCTGCACGGCCTCCCAGTCGCCCGCGCAGCCCAGAGTGATGTGAGCCCGGCTGCCCCGTGGTAGGCTGTCTGCGGGGGCCAGCTTGTCCACGTCATTTGGCCACAACAGCAGCTCCTGCTCACTCAGCTCCACCCGGGCTCCGGTGGTCTTGGGAGTCACGAAGAGTGCCGAGATGGTCAGCGTGAAGGCCTTGCAGTAAGACTTTTTCACCACCTGCGGCAGGGGGACAGCAGGGGGACGAAGCTGCAGGGGGTGGGGCTGGAGCGATAGTCCAGCGGGGAGGGTGTTTGCCTTGCATGCTGCCGACCCAGCCTCCATCCCTGGCATCCCATATGGTCCCCAGAGCACCGCCAGGAGTGATTCCTGAGTGCAGAGCCAGGAGTAACCCCTGAACATCACCAGTGTTCCCCCCCCCCCCCCCGCAAAAAATAAAAAGGAAGCTGCAGTGGTGCCCTGGGGGTGAGTGCCCCCGAGCAGCTCACAAGAGCACCATCCATGAGTGTGTGTGACACCCAGCCCATGTCACACAGCCCAGCAAGTAGAGATGCCAGATGGGCAGGGGCAGAAGCCCAGCAGCACGTGCAGGGGACAACAGCACCATGCCCGACATCCTTGGCCAGCCCCTGAAAGGCCCTGAGGTCAGGCCACACACGAGAGGGCAGCCATCAGTGCCCATGGTGGAAACTCCTGCCCCCTGCTAGCTGGTGCAGTTTCTCTGAGGAAGCTCCTCCCACTGCATTAGGACTGATCGGAAACGGGCGTGGGAAGCATCAGCCCCTCCGTGCATGGTGCTAGGTATGAGGGCTGCTCAGTAAACAGGGAGCATGTGTCCTCTCAGAGAGACAGTACAGGGATTAAGGTGATAGCCTGGCATTAGGTCCCCAGCACCATATGGTGTCTTAGCATCTTCAGGCCCCCCCTAAAAAAACCCAAACAACACTTGCCTGGGGGCCAGATAGGTAATACAGCATAGCGGTCAGGGCAGTTTGCCTTGCACAAATCTGGCCCAGATTCAATCCCTGGCATCCCATATGGTCCCCTGAGCCCTGCCAGGAGTAAGCCCTGAACACCACTGAGTCTGTGTAGCCCAACAGCAACAAAACGCCCTCAGAGAGCTTTCGTTTGAGGGAAGAGACCAGTGGCTAAAACTGGCCTAGGGGCACAGCCTGGAGGACTTGATCCACATTTTGCATGCCAAGGCCCATGTTCAATCCCATACCGCATGGGCCCCCAGGAATGAGCTGGGTGGGAGGCCCCCAAACTGAACAGCAGTGACTGTACACCCGTCACCAGAGAAGCAGGGTCGGCCTTGCTGAGAAGGTGACCTGGAGGCCACGGGTAGCTACATGCATCCGGGGAACCCGTGTAACACACCTGAGTTTGGTTTTAGCATTTAAGGTGAACAGGTAAATGCGGAGGGCCCTGGCAGCCAGGGGTGGGGTGAGAGAGGAGGCTGGTACCCATAGGTGAGGACTGACTCTCCCTTTGAGTCCCAGCTCAGGCCACTTCTTAGACAGGGAACCTCCACACCAGGCTGGGCCCTGAGTCTGTGGATGTAAATGACCCGGGCCTGGGTAGGAGCCTGAGGAGCGATTTCTGTGAATTGGAAGAAGGCGGAGGGCAGGCTTGGGGACCCCACACAGGGTGTGGCACTGCCTTTGGGCTCCCCAGAAGGGAGGTAAGCAAGATACGCAAGGAAGTTGTGGAGAGGCCTTTTGTTCAGCTCCTGCCTACTTTTTGGTCCCTGCCATGCCCCCCCTCAGTAGGGTACCCCTGGGGAGCACTCACGTCCAGCTGGGCATACTCGTCGGCCCCGGTGGCCTTCCCATAGTCGCAGAACTTGGTTGTGCAGTGCAGGACACCAGGGGGTCTCTTCCCAAAGTAGGTGACCAAATCGAGTTTCTCCCTGGGCTCGTCCCCAGAAATGACTGCAGAGAAAGAAGGGGGCAATCAGGGTGGGAGGACATGGAGCCAGGCTCTTCCAAGGCCACCCCAACACCTGTCACCAGGATTGTGGGCACCCAGGAGATAAACGACAACAGTTCTTGAGCGGTCCCCTACCCTCTGTCCTCCCTCGCCAGCAGCAACTTAAGCACTGCGAAAATGTGTTTGAATTCACTGGCTTTGCACTACGGATGTTTCCATCTCTGCCCCAGACTTGAAAATTCTCAGGCCCTTGAATCTCAGAAGCAAATTGGTTGCAGAGCTGAGAATCAGATTCATCAGTCTGCCGGGGAGCTCCTGGGAAATGGGGTAAAAATGAGAGTGGAGGATTCCAACGGAAACAGGAGCCAGAAAATAGAACATCTGGGCCACCTGGTGGGAACCGGAGCAAGTGCTGACCTTTATCTGTCGGGTACAATTAGAGTGGCCCTACTCCCATCTTCCCACAACCATGGGGGGTCCTGCTAGCAGGGTCCCATTCAGTTCAGAGACCCATCAGGACAGGAAGTTACCCCGCCACCATAGACATGTCTAATGGGCAGCATAGTGGATGAGGTATGGGAGGGACCCAGGCCTCATGGTGCCATGGGCACTAGGAGCATCCGGGCTGTCAATCCTTTCAGTCTCCAGACCCCAGGCTGTGGCGCAGCGGAACTGCAGAGGGGGAAGTCGGTCGCCAAGAGCAGGCTTTGCTCCTGGCTATTTCCTTTCTCCTGCTATCCTTAACACCAAGATTCTGGAGTTGTTAGGGTTTATGGCTATACCCAGTGGTGCTCAGGGCTTACTCCTGGCTCTGTTCTCGGGAAACACTTGCGGCAGTGCTCAGAGGACCATATGGGGTACCGGGCATCGAACCCGGGTCAGCCATGTGCCAGGCAAGCACCACCCGACCCACCGTACTCTCTCTGGGCCCTCTGGTTTTTTAATAAAATCAGCTCAAGAGTCAGTGAGTGATTCTCGGGCAGAGTCCCGGCCCTAAGCCGGAGCGGTGCTGTCCTCGGTCTTTTCAGAGGGACAGGCCTGAGCCTGTCTCTGTCAGGCGTCTCTGCCCCCCTGGTTTCCCAGAGCAAGACCTCAGGCAGCAAAGCGCAAAGAGGCACAAATGCCTTCTAAGAAACATGGGGTGTGGGTGTTTATTTTTTTTAATTAAAGGTAAAGGTAAAGGCCCTCCCGTTGTTCGTCAATTTGCTCGAGCGGGCCCAGTAACGTCTCCACTGGAGATTTTGTTGTTACTGTTTGACATATCGAATACATCACGGGTGGCTTGCCAGGCTCTGCCATGCGGGCGAGATACTCTCGGTAGCTTGCCGGGCTCTCCGAGAGGGGCGGAGGAATCAAACTCGGGTCAGCCATGTTGGCTGCGTGCAAGGCAAATGCCCTGCCGCTGTGCTATCGCTCCAGCCCCTGGGTGCAGGTGTTTAAATTGAAGAGAATCTGAGGAAAGAGCGGAGCAGGGATGGAGCTCGTGGCCCAGCACATGCACAGCACATGGAAGCCCCTGGGTTCCAGCCCCAGCACAAAACAAACAACAGAAAGGGGAAAAGGAGCGGGGGGACTGAAAATTTTCTAGGGGGCTGGAGAGCAGGAGAGTACAGGGGTCAGGGTGCTTGCCTCCCATCCCGCCAACTCTATTCAAATACCTTCAAGGCACCACTCAGGGTCTCTGGGCACCACCAGGATGACTCCTGAGTATGGCCAGGAATAGCCCCTGAGCACTTCTGGGTGTAGCCCCAAATTACGCCTCCCCGCCCCGCCAAAAAAAATAAGTCCTAAAGGCATAGATGGGTTAATGGGTAAGACAGTACCGTCAGGCCACTACAAGAGATAGTGCCTCGAGGGCCCCTTTCCTAGTGGGTCACAGAGCACCAGCCCCACCAGGAGAGACCCTGGTGCCCCCAGCACGGGGACGCGCAGCTAGAGTAAGAGCAGCTGGGCTGTCACCCAGATCCCTGCGGATCTGCCACAGTGGGCTGTTCTTGAGCCCTGGGGTGCCACCAGATCGCCTGGGAACCAGCCTGGCAAAGCTGCAGTTCCAGTTTGTTTGTGCGGCTTTTTTGCGGGTGAAGGGTGGGAAGTGAGGGGGGCCAGGCTGGAGTGAGGGATGAAAGGGGAGAAGCAGGAGCTGGAGCGATAGCACAGTGGGTAGGGCGTTTGCCTTCTACACGGCCGACCCGGGCTCGATTCCCAGCATCTTATATGGGCCCCTGAGCACCGCCAGGAGTAATTCTGAGTGCATGAGCCAGGAATAACCCCTGTGCATCGCCAGGTGTGACCCAAAAAGCAAAAAAAAAAAAAAAAAAAGGGGGGATTTGGGATTTGGGGAGGCACAAACTCTCATTCCCCCGGTGCCCCGTCCCAGGGCTGCCTCTGCCCAGAGCCAGCCCCCTCCTGCTGCCCTGGGTCCCAAAGCTCCCGGTTGGCCCTGTACCCAGCCTGGGGGGTCGGGAGGGGGGTGGGAACGAGGCTAACAGCCGCCACCTACAGTGTCGAAGCTCCTTCTTGAAGGCCTTGTGGTTCCCCAGCTCAGACAGGAAGGCCTGGCCCACCTTGCGGAGAGCCTCGGAGCTCTTCTTGGTCAGGAACCAGCCAAAGTAGAGTGGCAGGAAGTCCTTCTCCAGCCCTGGCTTCAGCTTCTTCAGGTCGTCAACTGACAGCTGCCACTGGTTCTTCTCCTTGAGCTGGGCACAGTCCAGCCGCCACGCTGTCTTGGGCTCCACCAGCACCACCTGGTACTGGTACTGATCGGCCATTTCAAAGAGCTGCTCCAGCCGCTCGCGCTCATGATTGGTGTCGTCTAGCACCAGGACCCGGGTATGCCGGCGGCAACAGGCAGCCAGGTCCTCATCCAGCTGCTTGTACTGCTCGGAGAAGTTCCCCCGGGAACCGGGGGTGATCTTGTAAGCGTCGGCAGACACCATCTTGGTGCCGTCGTGGTAGCGGTCCACGATGAGCCGGGCCAACGTGGATTTCCCACTGCCCGGCAGGCCGCGAAGAATGAACAGCGTCTTGCATTCCTGCAGCGTGGCCACCGTCTCCTCATCCTGCAGGAAGGGGAACTGCAGCTCAGGCTTGTCCTTGGCTCCCGATGACATTTTGCGGAAGAAGATCTTAGGCAGGAACGTGTGGCTCTTTCGGGAGAAGCCTCTGTTCTGCACAGAGGACAGGAAGAGCGGCGGTCATGCCCTGGCCCCGCCAGCCTTATCCTACCTGCTCTCCCCCTCGGGGATCCCCAGCTGCACTGACAACCCCCAAACATGACCCAGCTTCGGGAGGGGGACTGTTTCCCCTTCTCGGGTGGGCTTACCTGTCCACTTGTGGCCTCGGATAATGAAGAACTTTCCTAAACTTTTTTTTTTTTTTTTGGCGATGCTCAGGGCTTACTCCTGGCTCTGCATTCAGAAATCGCTCCTGGCGGTGCTCAGAGGACCATATGGGGTGCCAGTGATAAAGCCCGGTTGGTCGTGTGCAGGATGGATGAGTACCCACTGCACTATTTCTCCAGCCCCGGGATAAACTCTTCCTTGCCTTAATGGGGCTGGAGCCTCCGGGAGCACCAGCTGCTTCCTCCTGACGTGGTGGCAGCCCAGGCAGAAGCACCTGAAGCCTGCTGCTAAGCGGGACCCCAACTTTTATAGCCTTCACACGACAGGCTTAGGACCACCTCTTGGGAGGTGGGGTCTCTCTGGGCACAGCCACAGCTGCTTGTGCAGGGAGGCGTGAGGAAGGCCGCCTCCCTTCCCCCAATAATGGCAGCAACAGATAATACGCTCTTGTGTCTGGGATGGGGGGGACAATGGTCTCACAGAAGCGTGGGTGGGGGCAGGGCAGGGGAGCTGTGGACAAAGGGCCTCATTCATGGTGCCTGCCACCTCCTCCGCGGCTCTGGGCCCCCCCACAAAGCCGTGGTCTTCGTGCCTGACCCAGGATTGGGGCACAAGGCACCTGCCTCCACCGTCCAGCTCTGCCCAGCACTCGGCTGGGTGTCCCCTGGCCGCTCTCTGAGCCGCTTGTCTCCAGGTCTGCTAAAAGCCACCAGAGACAGCAATCTGGGACTTTGACGCTTCTTTTACCCCTAGCCCGGTCGCATGTCCCCTCGGTGCCCGCCGGGAGCTGCCCGCGCACGCTGCCCTCTTGGGCCGACTTCTTGGGCAGCTGAAGGCAAAGAGCGCCCGCGTGGCAGCTGGGCGAGCAACAACCCGGGGCAGCTGCCGAGTCTCTGTCCCCCTCCAGCCTCTCCTTGGCCCTGGTCCCCCCACCACGGACCCGCGTCTCCCCTACCTCAAGCACTGCGTCCACGCTTTCAGGGCACTGCCGAGAAAGTCTCAGTTCAACTCCGGAGGCTCGCGCCTCGTTTGCATGCCACTTCCTCCCGAAAGTCCCCCTCCCTGTGCACCCTCGTGGGGCTCGGGGGCTGCCCCGAGCACGGTCCCCAGTGCCCTCCGGGCCTCGCCCTCTCCACTCACCATGATGAGTAGGGGGCGCCGCCGTCGCCGCCTGCTCAGGCACGAGCTCCCCGGGGCCGCCCGCCTGCGCGGAGGGACGCCGAGTGCAGACCCGGGAGCGCGCGCCCAGCGCCTTTCATAGCCTCGGGGCGGGGCGGGCCTCTGCGCAGGCGCAGGCGCGGGGAAACGAACCCGAAACTTACACGCAGGGAGGAAGCGGCCACGCGCCGTCGCCCGCTCCAGCCCGCAGCTGCAGGGCACCCAGACAGCAGATGTGAAAGGCGAGGGAGGCAGCGGAGTGCGAGGGCAAAGTCTTGCAGGAGCAGGACTTGGAAAGGATTCTTGCAAACGTCTTGCAGTGCAAGCGCAACAAAGTCTTGCAAAAAGCCGCTGCCTTTAAAGGTGCTGAATGCATTCGTGGATTTTTACATTGATTTTTATTTTCCTTGGGAGGGCGTGGTAGGGGGTATCTCCGGGCCATTCCCAGAAGTGCTCCCAGAGGCAGGTTCAGTGCCCTCCGCTCCACCCCGCGCAGCAGGGCAGAATATTCTGCTGGATTCCAATGAGGACCACACATGAGCATGTGCTCTGCCACTTGCGCCACTTACACGGTCCTCGTTTCCTTTTTTTTGTTGGGGGGGGCACTCTTACCTCGAGGCTCACTTCTGACTGGGCTTAGGAGACTACATGGGCTGCCAAGGATTGAACTCCAGGTCTGGCGTGTGCAAGACCAGTGCCCTACCCACTGTGATCTCTTCAGCCCTAAGTACTATTTATTCTTGTTGAGTGTTTTAACACACCATGAATGATTTAGAGAAACCCTAGTCCACCCTGTGAGGTGGCTGCTTCACCCCTGCCGCTTCTTTTTTGTTTTGTTCTGTTTTGGAACCACACCCTAGAATGCCCAAGGGTTACTCCTGTCCCTTCACTCAGGGATTACTCCTGGTGGTGCTCAGAGGACCTTATGGGATGCAGGGGATAAAACCTGGGTTGGCTGCATGCAAGGCAAGAGCCCTACCAGCTGTTCTATGGCTCATAAGGGAAGACTCTATAAAGGCTCTTAAAAGGGGGCCTCTAGGGGCCTGGAGCGATAGTACAGTGGCTAGGGTGTTTGCCTTGCACGCAGCTGATCCGGGTTCGATTCCCAGCATCTCATAAGGCTCCCTAAGTACCGCCATGAGTAATTTCTAAGTGCAGAGCCAGGAGTAACCCTTGTGCATCGCCAGGTGTGACCCAAAAAGCCAAAAAAAAGGGGGGGGTCTCTGGAGGCCCCTCTGGGGCTGATGTCTGGGTTTGAGCCTCTAGAATTGCACAGCTGGGCCTCTCCTCTGAGAATAAGCTGTCCATTCCCCTGAGACTCCCCGTGTGGTGTGTGTGTGTGTGTGTGTGTGTGTGTGTGTGTGTGTGTGTGTGTGTGAGCTGTCGTCTGCTTTCAAGGCTTGAGGGGCTGAGAAGTGGGCCCTTCACTGTGTGATGGCTAATGCTGGCTCAATGTGCTTTTCTGGTTTTTTAATACTAGGGTAGTTTTCTTATTTGTTTACTTATTGGGTAGGGGGGAGTTGTTCAGGGAGGAGCTTCCGACCCTTCTCCTGTGCCTGATCTTGTGCTCTCTCAGATCCTGCTCATTCTTCTTTCCCGAAAGCTTCCCTCCCACAGTTCCCTGCACACAGGAGCCAGGGAGTGGAACGGTTGGGGGGGGGGGTGTCTCCAGCCAAGCCTCTGCTCCCACCCCCTTTCCTCTCCCTGCCCCCAGTCCTGTGAACCTTCTGGGCATCTTGGAGCTCCCTTCACCCTCCTGAATCCCTTTCTCCTCAGCACTTTTGCCCTACCCGCTGTACTGCTGCTTCAGACCCACAACACTTTTCTCATTTCTCCCATTTGGCCCTTGAGCAAGGCCTGGGGAGGAGGCTGTGTTCCACTGCATGATCTGTGGGCCAGGATGTGGCTCACCCGGCCAGCGCATGCACCTGCTCTGAAGTGCGTTCTTCTTTTTTCTTTTCTTTTTTTTTTTTTTTTTTTGCTTTTTGGGTCACATCTGGTGATGCATAGAGATTATTCCTGGCTCATGCACTCAGGAATTACTCCTGGCAGTGCTCAGGGGACCTTATGGGATTCTGGGAATCGAACCCAGGTCAGCGGCGTGCAAGGCAAACGCCCTACCTGCTGTACTATCACTCCAGCCCCTGAAGTGGGTGGGGATGAAGAGCAAAATGACAGACTCGGGCAGAGGAATAGTGAAAGGTATATATTCAAAGAAAAGCTAGTGGCATGAAGAAGCAGAGGTGAGCTGTGTGGGGTCCATTTCTCAATCAGTCTCACCTGGGCAGTCCCCTACTATCAGGCCCCTGCTCCCTTCCCCCCCACCCCCCGCCTCAATCACCTTTCTTCTTGCCACCCCCTGAGTATTTCAGGTCCCTCGAACTTGTGTTCCTCGGCTCTTCCAAGTCTCCCTGGAAGATTTCAGAATATTTTCCCTCTGGTTCTTCTGAGTCCCTCAGGCTTGATTCCGAAAGGGCCTGGTCGAGCTCGGAAGGCCGCCTGTAAATGTCCTTCAATTCTGCTTTGCTCAGTTGTGTTCTTTTCTTGCTGTCTTCTTTCTGTCTTCTTTCGCCCCCAGCAACGTCTTCTAATTCCTTCGGCTCCGTTGTCTGGGAAGAGCTGCCAGTCTCCGAGTCCTCCGGCTCGCTGTTCTCTCCTGTTCTGCTCGCCCTCTTGTGCACCTTCTCCTGGGACGAGTCCACGTCTAGGTCCCTCTCACTCCCATGCTCCCGCTCCCAGTGGCTCATCACCTTCTCAGACTGAATCTTCTGCCTCCTCGGGCTTTTCTGCCCTTGCAGGGCATCCTCCTCTTCTGAGAAGTGGGTGGAATGCAGGGAGAAAAGCGTGTTGGCCCTGTGTGCAGATGAGATACCGCACCCCCTTCCAAAGGGAGAGACCCAAGAGCAGGCTGCACACATATTTTGCAGGAGGTCCAGGTTCCATCCCTGGCACCACCACTACCAGGAATAGCCCTGGAGCACATACAACCAGGAGTAGTTCCTGGAGTACAGGCGGGTGTTACCCCAAAATAAACACCACACACACACACAAAGTGAAAATTCAAACACACGCACACATGTGCACACAAGCGCACAGTCACACATACTCGCCCACGCGCAGACATGCACACACGCAGGTGGGAGTCGCGTGGATTCCATCAGTGGATTCTCATGACACTGCACAGTGTCACTGAGTGTGCAGGCAAGGGACCTGGGACTGAGAAAACATCACATGCAACATTCACTCTGCAAAGAAATCAAGCGCCCAGGCCGCAGCCTCCCGGGCATCAGCCAGGGCTGCTTCTCTCCAGGGACCTCATTCTGCGGCTAGGGCAAGTTCAGACCCAAATGCCAGTGACCTGCTAGCAGGTAGCTGAACTGGAGGACAGTTTCACAGCCAGAAGGATCCTTGCTCCTTGTAGGAGTGACAAAGAAAAGGCACCCGAGTTTGCCCTGCGTTCTCTGCCCACACGCCACTGGTCTCCTGGCGCCCTGGGGGGTTCTTGAGTTCCCAGCCAAAAATGGTCGCTTTGTGGACCAGGGCAATGCTGCCACCTGCTGTTCCGGGAGGGGAGTGCTAGCAGCTGCCGCCCACTGGGCCTTCCCTAGGACCGGGATGGAGAACTGCAGGGTTAGCGGGATAGCAGAGCATGCAGGAGGCGTGAGGACACTGGGAATGGAGGGACAGGGGCAGTGGAGACAGGAGATGAGGGGAAAGGAGCGGGCAGGGGGACAGAATAAGGGAGGGTGGGAGGTCAGGAGGTAGGAGACGGGGGAGAGAAATGGGGACAGGAGGGGACAGGAGGAGGAGGACAGGGAAATAAGAGATGGAGGACAGAGAACAGGAGATAGGGAATGGGGGCAGGAGGGAGGGGCAGGGGGCAGGAGATTTGGGAACAGGAGAGTCCAGGGGCTCAGCAGCACAGTTGGGTCCCTGTGAGGGTGGGGTGCCCCACTCTTGCACAGGAGGTGGGGGCAGCAGGGGTGTCCAGGCTCACCTTTCTTTTCGAAGAAACTCCCCCGGAAACTGTTTTTCAATCCTTCTACAATGCCCTTGTTGGCATCATCCAAGGCCTATGGGTGGGGAGGGAGCCGTGAGTCCACTTGGCACTGACCTATGTGCCAGTGCCTCGAGACCCCTACCCCTACCCCAAGGCTCATTAGGCCTCTGGGCCTGGGGTCACCCCTGGCCTGGGCACGGGATCCCTGCCAAGGGCTACCTCTGGCCTGGGGCAGGCCTGTGCTTGGGTGCTACCCCCCGATTTCCGCTTTCTCATCGCGAGCCGTTCTGGGCTTCAGCTCGTGCAAAGTTGGAGGCCGCAGGCATGCTGCAGGGCAGCAAGCCAGGGACAGAACTGGGGACTTCGAGAGGCACCCCAGAAGAGCCTTCTCAAAAGACCCGGCTCCCTGGAAATGTTGACCGGATGACCCATGGCCCGTACGCCTTGGGCAGAGTTGGTCTGGCCCGCCCACACCTTCTGCACCCTGCTGGACATGCAAGCCGTTCCAGACCCTGGTCCCCCAGAGTCACTTAGGAGGACTCCACTCGCCAGGACGAGACTCCAGCTCCGAGCTGCTGGACGGCCATGCAGATACCGCGAGTGGTGCCAGATTGGAGCTGCACATCCGTCACGGGGATGGGGAGTGTGATCCCAGGCAGGGCGACTTGTGGGGGTCTGACCTGGCACCCAGGAGCAGGGGAACAGGACTGTGGGAAGGGGGGCCGACCCCTCAGTGGATAAAGAAGTGGTAGGTGCTGGGTGTCCCGAGAGCAACTTCTCTATTCTGCTGGAATGTGGGGCTTCCCGGGGGCCCAATACACCACTGGCTCTCACCCTAAGACCCCGAGGGGGTCAGGGTTCATGTTCTCTCCCGGCCCTCCATGTCCAAGCTGGACCCCCAACCACAGGCCTGGGCCCTCCTCAGCCTGGTAATACCTCTGCACCCCTCCCCACTGTAACTCCCATCCTTTCACATCCTTTCCCAGGTCCCTGCGCTGTCTCAGGGGGTCTGCAGGATCTGTGACTCTGCAGTGAGGCCCCCCCAACCCTGGCCCAGACTCCTGGGGATAGGGAACCTGTGCAAATGCTGGGGGCTCCACCCCACCGAACGCCACAGGACAGAGTGGCAGTGGCTGCATGGACCGGGGGCTGGGGGCCGGGGCTTATGCCAACCCTCAAGGACACGTCCGCCTGCAAGGGTCCGGCAATGGAGTAGAGAGTGAGCCCTGGGGAAGGAAAGGCACTGCGGGGCTTCCCGGCCCAGGTATCAGTTGCATGGACCATTTGCTTCCAGGAGCGGTGGCTCCTGTGCAGGTGTAGGATGAGGCACCCACACAAAGTGTCCTGGACCTTGACAGGGCATGCTGGACAGTGGAGCAGGAGACACACACATACACATGCCCAGGCCAAGAGGCAGGAGTGGGCACTAACTGGGCAGGGGGTGAGAGTGGAGGGTTTGGAACATGTCAGGCATAAAGAACAGCCCATGCTAAGGAGCATATGGAAGCCTGTTCAGGAGCGAGGAGTGTGTGCGTGTTTGTGAGTGTGTGTGTGTGAGTGTGTGTGTGTGTGTACATGTGTATGCATGTGTGCCTGCAACATGTGGGCATATGTGTGAGTATGCATGTGTGTGCGTGTGTGTGCATGTGTCTGCAATATAGGTCCAGTGCCACAGCCCACCTCCTGTTCTCACGAGACACAGCTGCCGGGGCCCCGGGGCCCGTCTGGCCATGGTATCAGCCCACTGAGCTGATGGCCTCCATCATTGCCACATACCCTAAGTCGGATCCTGTGTCGCCCAATAGGCATGTGTGTGCATATGCACGCGTGTGCACGTGCGTGCGCGTGTGTGCATGTGTTCATGTGTATGTCTGCAACGTATGGGTATATGTATGTGTGCATGCTTAGGCATGTGTGTGCGTGTGTGTTCGTGCATGCGTGCATGCATGAGTGGGAGTGGATGGGGAGTGTGGAGAGGCCCCCAAAGCAAGAATCTCACAGGCAGGAAAAAGCCGGAAGTTCCTTCTAGGGTTGCCCAGAAGCTGGGACGGTTAAAAACGCTGACTCCTGGAGTTGGGGGGGGGGTTTCCAGAGGGCAAGTCCAAAAGTCAACTCAGCTGGACCCCACCCGCAGCAGGGCAGCTGGGAAGCGCGGGGTGAGTGCTGGGGAGAGGTGCTGCAGGGGTGGCTCCGGAGGGAGGCTCGGTGCCCTCCTCCTGTCAGTGCTGGGGGTTTGGTTCCTCCCTGCTGAAGCGGGTGTTGGGTGTGAGCGTCAGGAAGGATCTGCCCCGTGGGGAATGGGTGCGAGCGGGTGGGGGTGCCAGAGGGGCTTACGCTGATGATGGCCTGCTGCGCCTCGTTGTTGTGTACCAGCTTGGCTCGCTCCAGTGCCTTCTCGAAGTTGTTGACAGCGGACTCGAAGTCTTTGAGCTTCACTGGAAAGCGAGGAGGGGGGACACAGGGCACCGCTGGGGTGTCACTGGGCGGGGGCTGGACCCTGCCAGGCTCCAGGGGAAACCGCAGTGGGCAAGAGTCCCAGCCCTGGTGCCCAGCACCCCCCTCCACCCTGACGGCGCTGAGCGAGGGGGTTGTCTAGGGGTCAGGGACACGGTGGCCACCGTCTCCGGGCTTGGTGGACAACTCCGGCTTTGACTTTCCAGAAAGGAAAAAGCCTTCTCCTTCTAAATGTGAACTCAGAATTTTCAGAAATGATGTGAAGGAGCTGGGGAGGGGCTCAGTCGTTGAACAGAGGCCACTCCTGAAAGGGGCCCTGAGTTTTGTCTCTGGCCCACCTGCCCCCAAAGTAATCCTGTTCTGTTTGTTGTTTTGGGGCCACCTCTGCCAGTACTCAGGGCTTACTCCTGGATCTGCTCAGGAATCACTCCTGGCTGTGTTTTCGGGGGGCCATGTAGAATGCTGGGGATCAAACCCAGATCAGTCAAAGCAAATGCCTTACCTACTGTATTATTGCTCAGGCCCCAAATTAATTACTTTTTAAAAAAAATTTTATTAGTGAAACACTATGAGATACAGTTGTAGACTTACAATTTTTTGTGCTTGGGACTTTTGGAAACAACGCCATGGAGATTAAAATTTTTTTTTGAAAAAAATTGTTTTGTTTTGTTTGGGGGCCACAACCTGGCAACTAAGGGTTACTCCTGGCTCCTGACTTGGTTGCACTTAGTAATTACTCCTGGTGGTGTTCAGGAGCCCCTATAGGATGCTAGGTTGGAGGTTGAACCTGGGTTGGCCGCCTGCAAGGCTAGTGCCCTCCTGCTGTACTATTTCTCCTATCCCCCAACACACCCATGAAATATTGTGGTCCAGTGGCTAGAAGCTTCCCTTGTACAGGAAACCTGTACGAGAAGAGGCAGCTCAGTAACTTCACCCATCTGACAGTTAAGGCTGAACCGGAAGTGGAAGTGGAGTGGACAATAGATTGTCACCCTTTTAAAATGTGTGACCTATGGGGCTGCAGAGATAATACAGAGGGGAAGGTTCTTGTTTTACATCTTGCCAAACTGGATTAAATTCCCTGAACCCCTTATGGTCCCCTTGAGCCCTGCCAGGGGTGATTCCTGAGCGTGGAGCCAGGAGTAAGTCCCGAGCACCACTGCGTATGGCCCCAAAGCCAAAACACCAAACAGAAACTTCATGTGGGGCCAGGGCGAGCTGTAAGGGGGGAAGGAAGGGATCACTATCTACCAAGCCACACTCTTAGACGTGCCAGTTCCTGTTCTGAGTGGGTGTCTTTTGTGTTGGGTTTTTCTTGTTGTTGTTTTTGAACTACACTGGTGGTGCTCAGGGCTTTTCCTGGCTCTGCTCAAGGATCACTCCTGGCAGGGCTCAGGGACCATATGGGATGCCAGGGGTTGAACGCAGATTGGCCACTTCAGGCAAAATGTGCTCTCTCTTCAGCCCTGAGTGTTTCTGTGATAAAAGGTTCCCCTATCTCACACCACACAGCACCCCAGGAGGTAGAGGCATGCAGAGAAGAGGAAACTGAGGCCCCGAGTCGCTCCTGCCTGAGGGCCCTGAGCCTGGGGTTGCAGAACTCAGATTCCTCCAGGCCCTGCCTCCTTCCTCCCACCACATGGTGCCTCCCAGGCTGCCACTCTACAACTGTTCAACCCTAAGTCTGGATTCTCCAGGGCCCATCCAGACGCCATAAGTCCTCAAGCTCAGGCTCAGGACAACCACCACCATGAGGGGTACATCCTGTCCCCACCTGAGCTTGAACAATGGCCCCCTTGAGTATAGAAAATAGTTTAAGAAAAGGCCAGCTGAAGCCCTCAATGATTTTTGGAATCTATGACTTGTGAGCTGGAGGGATAAGAAGGGGTGAATGAGGCACTTGCCTTACATGCAGCAGACCCTGGTTCAGTCCGCTGCATGGCCCCCCAGCACCACTGAGAATAACTCTGAAGCACCCCTGGGTGTGCCCCTCCCACTCCAAAGCCCCCAAGGAAAGCCCTCCTGATTGGCTTGCCTTGCGTCTGGCTCCTGATGCTGTACCTGGCTGTGCAGATGGAAGTGTTTTGCCTCGTCTCAGAGTCAGCGGGGTTGGGCAGGGAGCCCCCGCGAGCAGGACCCAACCTGGCCCTGGGTACAGCTGGGCCTCCCTGAGCCCCTACCTTGGGCCTGAGCCACCAGCACACTGGCGTTCAGCTGCCACTCAATGTCCCCTTCTTCCTCGGCACACTGCTGGGACTTCTCGCCGTAGTTCTGCGCCTGCCAGGCCTGGTCCAACTCTAAGTAGCAGCGCCCGATCTCATGGAACAGCCAGGTCTTCTCTAGGGTGGTCTTGGCCAGAGGGATCTTCTCCTCCCATCTAGGGACACAGTGAACCAGGCTCAGGAGTTCCCTCCCCCACTCACCCAAGGCCAAGGTTCTCTGCTGGGAGGCCCAAGAAAAATCGCTCCTCCAAGGGCCGACCTTCCCCACACCTGGCAGAGCACAGAAGCATGAAAGTGTTTAAAACTACGGAAGCTGGGCTGGGATCTGAGTCAGTGGTAAGACATGGGCCTTGCACGCAGGAGAATGGGTTTGAGCCCTGGAATTGGAAAAAAAAAAAAAGAAGGAAAGGGGGAACAGATAGTACTTTGGGTTAAGGCTTTAGCCTTGCTTGAACTTGACCAAGTTAAAAGCCAACGACAACGCCCCCTGAGCCCTGCCAGGTGTGATCCCTAAGCACAGAGCCAGGAGAAAGTTCTGAGCACAAACCAAGAGTGGCCCCCCAAAACAAACAAAGCTAAATAAAAAATTACTGAGAGCTGGAGAGATAGTACCAAAAGCAGAGTGCTTGCCTGACACGTGGCCAAGCCAGGTTCAATCTCCCAAAAACAAAGAAACAAACAAACCTACTGAAGCTATAGTGGGAAATCTGTGGGATTGTATTTGGAATAAAAGTTGGAGGTAATATTTGTAAAATAGCACTTCAATTAACATTTAAAAGATTGAACAGGGGCCCAAGAGATAGCAGAGCGGGCAGGGTGTTTGCCTGGCACGCTGCCAACCCAAGTTTTGTTCCCGGTACCCCATATGGACCCCTGAGCCCTCCAAGAGTGATCCCTGAGCACCACTAGGTGTGGCCCCCAAACAAACAAAATAATAATCATAATAATACAAAGGGGCTGGTATATTCTCCTCTGTTTCTGCCGCTCAGCCCCCGGTGCCCGCCGTGAATGTGGCTCTTCCAGTCAAGAGACAGGCCTAAGGACTTGCAGCTTGGGCGGTCTGGCTCTGGTGCTCTCCAGGGCTGAGTTACCAGCTGAGAGCTCAGACTGAGTAGTCACAGAAGCAGTGGCCGTGGGTGTCTGTCAGAGTTGGACGGCTGAGCTTCAGCCCAGTCCTTCAGTGTCAGACTAGGGAAGGCGTGTAGGGACCACTCGTAATCATCTAGCTCTCACATGCTCTGGGTGGTGCTTTCTTCTGTATCTTAAGAGGGGCCTCCCCCCACTGGGAAGGTTCTGGGGCCACCTAATGCTCAGTGGGCTGTATTATGTCAGGGGTCAAACCCTGCCACTTGATTTTTTTTTGTCATTTCGGGTCACACCCAGCAGTGCTTAGGGATTACTCCTGGCTCTACACTCAGGAATTACTCCTGGAAGTGTTCGGAGGACCACATGGGATGCCAGGAATTGAACCCGGGTTGGCTGCATGCAAGGCAAATGCCCTAATGCCCTACCCACTGGATTATCTCTCCAGTCCCAATCTCTGCCACTTGAGCGCTGTCTCCCAGGCCCACCAGGACCTTCTTACCACCGGCCAACAGAGAAATATGGTTCTAGTCAATTCAGGGATGTTCTGATGAGCCCCCGAGTTGGCCAGGGGGCCTGTCCACCATGGCTGCCTGACAGATGTGACACCAGTCATATTCAGGTGCCCCTTTGCCCAGAGTCCTGGCTGCAGGTGGGATTGGTGTGAAGCTCAGTGACACCACAGGGTAGGGAAAGAGCAATCCTTGGTCACTCACGTGTCAATGGCCTGCTGGAATTTCCCAACTCGGGCAAACACCCTGCCAATGTTGTCAAGGGCTCTTGACTTGGCATCAGGAAGGTCACTGTGGGGAGGAAGCAAGACAAGTTGTCCACTCTGACTTGGCAGTGGCTGCGCCCACTCTCAGGGGGCACCCGGAGCCCGGGCCTGGGACAGGCAGGCCACAAGGGCCAGAGTGCAGGCTTTGTGTGGGGGAGCACCAGGTTCCAGCCCTGGCACCATAGGGTCCCCTGGGTGCCACTGCAAGAATAACCATCCAGCTGGGAGTAGCCTCTGAGTACCCTTGGATGTGTCCCACCCCCCCAAAAAGAAACAAATTAGGGGCTGGAGAGAAAGTACAGTGGGAGCTTGTCTTGCATGCAGCCGACCTGGGTTTGATTCCCAGCAACCCCTATGGTTCCCTGAGCCCTACCAGGAGTGATCACAGAATGCAGAATCAGGGATAAGCCCCCGAGCACCACCAAATGTGTCCCCAAAACCAACCCCCTCCAAAAAAAAAAGACAAAAAAAATCCAGTAGTAAATCAGTAAAAAGAGCACTGGCAGGGATCACTGCTGAGCACCACCGGGGGTGGCCCAGCCTGCCACCCAGAAAGAACCACAGCCAATCCCTGTGACATCTGTCCTTCATTTATTTATTCTTGGGGGGGAAGGGTTTTAGGGTTATACCTGGTGACTCTAAGTGATCACTCCTGGCAGTGCTCAGAAGACCATCTGTGGTGCTGGTGTCAGCCCCTGCATCTGATGTTTAACCGCGGTCATAAGAACATTCTGATCTTTCTCTTCCCAGCAAACCAAACCGGAACCAGCAGCCACCCGCAGTCTCAGTCCCGTCCAGCAGGTGGAAGTGTGGAGCCCAGCTCCAGCAGCTGCGGGGACCCTCTCTGCTCCCACCCTGGCTGCCTTCCTGCACGCACATACCACTCGTCCCTCCGCCGCGAGTGGGCGCTCCCACGCCTACAGCTCCCTGTGCGCGCCGGGCAGGACGGGACCAACCCAAGTGCCTGCCCTCAGAAACACCTTATGGAGCCTGGCCTGCGGCCATGCTTCCTGGCCAGGCCTTCTCGTGCACGGCCTCCGAGCACAGAGCACAGGCGGCTTCTTGTCAAAGGGGCTGTCTGTCTGCATGCCCGGGCGATGTGGATAAACACGCACACTGGAAAGGACACCTGAAGGACGCTTTGCGACGTGGCCCCTTGGGAGATGCCCAAGGACGGGCGCGGGGCAGTGGGAGGAGTTTGGTGCGTGCACAGGGGCCAGTACAACACAGCTCTGGGATTCAACACTCCTGGGTAACCCCCCCCACACACACACCAGCAGGTCCCTGCTCCCTGGTGTGGCGCTTGGCTTCCCTCCGCCCTGCCCTGCCGCAATCCTGCACACCCCCAATCCTCAGCCCGCCAGCTCTGCCAGCTCTCCAGGTGCCCTTCTCTATCCCCCACCCCCTGCCCTGCTCCTACCTGGGATCCTGAGGGTTTGTTTTTTTCTCTCTTTTTTTGGGGGGGGGGGGGAAGCCACACCTAGCAGTGTTCAGGGATTACTCCTAACTCTTCACTCAGGAATTACTCCTGGCGGCAGGGATGGAACCCAGGTGGGTTGCCTGTAAGGCAAGCGCCATTCCTGCTGTACCATCGGTCCAGCCCCTCTGTTGCTCTCAGGGCACCTGGCAGAGCAGAGGCTCCATCCAGTGTGCAGAGTGGACATGTCCACTAGGTCCACTAGAATCCATTACTCAGGCCAACATCTGATGAGAAATAAGTCACTTGGGGGCCAAGACATGGCTCAAAGGGTTAGGCTCAAAGGCTTTGCCTGCAGGAGACCCAGTTTGATCCCCCACATCACATGGTCCCCCCGGGCACTGTATCAGGAGAAGCCCCCAAGTCATCACTGGGAGTGGCCCCCAAAACGAAGTCTCCAAGACTCCCCCCAAAAAAGAGTCATGAGGAAGCACACAATCAAGTCAACAAGGGTTCCAAACGGATTTGTCCTACCACCTGCTTTTCAGAAAAACATCAGTGACACCACCCCTCATCCCCATAGAGCAGAGAGCATAAAGTCCTCACCCCTGCACCCCTGCGCCCTTCACCCTGGAGACTGCAGTGGCCCCAGGGGCTGGTCCCTTTGGAAAGATGGTTCTAGGGCACAGGAGAGAGGGGCACGGGTGGGGGTTGGGGGAGGTCACTGAGGGTGCTACAGAGGCGGGATTTTGTTTTTGTTTTGGGACTCATACCTGGCTGTGCTCAGGGATCACTCTTGGTGGACTGGGGGACCCTATATGGTGCCAGGGCTCACAGGGAGGGTCGGCCATGTGCAAGGCAAGTGCCCTAACCACTGTACTATCTCTCCAGCGCCTCCCAAGACATGAAGTTTGATGGGAACTAACAGAGCTAGGAACCCCTATTTTTTTTTTGCTTGTTTTGCTTTTTGGGTCACACTTGGCAATGCACAGGGGTTAGTCCTGGCTCTGCACTCAGGAATTACTCCTGGAGGTGCTCAGGGGACCATATGGGATGCTGGGAATTGAACCTACGCCCTACCCGCTGTGTATTGCTCCAGCCCCAAACCTCTCTCTTTCCCAGTCGCTGGCACACCTCTTTCCTGCCACAGTGCCCACAGTGGCTGCAAAGGGAAGGGTGGCTAGTAAGTTTCCTTCCAAAACGCAAAGTCCCAAGGGGCAGAGAGAGAGAATGAAATGTGGAGAGGTGGCTGGGAGCTGGATTTCCAAATCACCACACGGGGCTGGGAAGGCTTTCCTGTATTAGACAGTTATTCACATTTCAGAGGATGGGGGGCCGGCGGGCCAGAGGGGGTTGATGAAGAAAGAGCTAGTGAGAAAGGACAGGCCAGTGCCACTCTGGGATTAGCAGGAACAGAGCCACAGGGGCTGGCCCTGGGGCCTGCAGAGTGACCAGAACAGGCCCTGGCAGGAAGGACAGTCAAGCTGGGACAAACCCAACTCTCAGACTGGGGTACATGCCCAGGTCTGTCTCTCACCTGGATCCAAGGAGAAATCGGACAAGGAGGAGGAGGATCTGCACTGAACTGGAGGAGGAAAAAGTGTGGGAAGGGGCTCTGGAGAGCAGGGAGAGTGGGAGGTGGCTGAAGTCCCCTGATTTCCTCTCGGGGGACCTCGTGGCCAACAGCACCATTGTGTGTTGGACAGTTTGGCAGGGAAGATGAGGGGTTCCATATTGCACTCAAGTTGGTACATTACCAAAGCTCCCAGCTAGGGAGGGAGTCCGGTAGTGGAGGGCCTTAGCTGGGTCAAATGCAGGAGTGAGGATTAAGATTAGGGCCTCCTGGGGGACAAGGGAGGCAGGTCTGCTGGGAAGTGCTGGATTAGTCCCCCTCTCCCCCCCCCGCCCCGCCAACGTGGCTCCCAGGACTGGAGAGATGATTTTGTTTTGCTTGGGGGCCATACTCGGCAATGGTCAGGGCTCACTCTTGGCTTTACACTCAGTAATTTCTCCTGGCAGTGCTCGGGAGACCATATGGGAGGCTGGGATCGACCCTTTGTCAGCAGAGTGCAAGGTAAACCCCCTCCTCATGGTACTATGGAGAGACTCATTTCATTGGTATTTGGCCTTGATTGCAGATGAGGAAACCGTGAAGGTGAATCAGATCCACGCAGCTGAGTGCCAGAGCCCAGATCAAAGCCAGCTCGGCCGGTCGCTGTCAGTTTTCTTTTCTTTCCTTGTTTGGGGGGCCACACCTGGCTATGCTTAGGGCTTACTCCCAGCTCTGCGCTCAGGGATTACTTCTGGCAGGCTCGAGGGACTATATGGGGTGTCAGGGATTGAACCCAGTTCGACGGTATGCACGGTCAAACTGTTGCTTGTTTTCTCCTCTGGAGGCATGTACAGGACACTCCTGCTCAGCGTGCAGGAAGGGGTGAGAAGGAACGGGGAAGGGACCATTAGAGGGGCAGAAGGGCTAGGAGAGGCAAGAAAGCTCAGGACACCTGTTTGGCCTCTGGGGTGGGGGACCAGGCCCACGGGAGTAGTGGTATGTGCAGAGCACCCCAAGGCCCCATCACAGACTTAGCTTCAAGCCAGCAGGCAACGAGGAGGGATGAGGCCCGGTAGTAGGAAGAGAGGTGAGATGTGGGGAGGTGATTTGTGGGTGCAGGGGGAGCCAGGGCTGGCTGCTGAGTGGGAATGGGAGGATGGGAAACTCGAAGAGGCCCAGCACTGTGGGCCAAGTGGAAACTGGGCCAAGAGAGTCACTGAGGACTTTGAAGGTCCCTGGCGTGACTGCCATCTAGAAGGCCACTGGGGCTGAGTGTGAGGTGCGCAACCGGGGTCCTGGGCGAGTGTCTGTCACGTGGCTGCTGCACTGCCTGCCGCCTTCTCTCCGTATACCGTCCCTCCGCCCTCCACCCTCTCAGGCTGGGCTAGCGCAGTTTCTGCCCAATGACCAGGGAGTGCTGAGGAGCCTGTCAGAGGCCCCACATGGGGAGGTGGTACAATCCAAAGCCCTGAGGTTCTGACCTGAGTCCACAATACTTTTTCTCCCCCCTTACAAATATTTTGTTTTTAATTTGTGGGGCTGGAGAGATAGTACAGCGTGGAGGGCACTTGCCTTGCACACCATCAAGCTGGGTTTAATCACTGGCATCCCATACAGTCCCCTGAGCACCACAAAGAGTGATCCCTGAGTGCAGAGCCAGGAGTAACCCCTGAGCATCACCAGTGTGACCCAAATACCCTCCAAAAAAAAGGTTTTAAATAATTTATTTTGATTGGGGGGAGGCCACACTTAGTGAAGGGGCTTCCGAACCTCCTGAGCACCACCTGGGAGGCCCCCTGCAAAAAAAAGAGGGGCTAAAGGGGGTTATAGGATAGTAGAGCAAGGAGGGCCCTTGCCTTGCACGTGGCTGACCAACGTTTGAACCCAGCACCCCATATGGTCCCCTGAACACTGCCAGGAATGATTCCTGAGTGCGGAGTTAGGAGTAACCTTGAGCATCGCTGGGTGTGACCCGTCTCTCAGAAAAAGAGAGGGGCTAGAGATATGGCTCAGAGGACCAAAGCATAGGCAAGGCCTCATCCTGCTGGTGTCCTGAGCACTGTGGAGGACAGTGACCCCCTACAAACCACAAATAGGTCTACCCCTTCCCGACTGCAGGCAAGCGGCCCTGCCCGCAGGGAACCTGCTTGGATTCGCAGGGCAGAAAGTGGGAGCACGGCCATGAGCCGCCCTGGTCAGGGGCCAAGCCATCCTGCCAGCCCTGCACCTCTGTGAGCCGGGGGCCTGGCACTCACTATTCCTTGGCGATCTCCAAGTCCTTTCGGTGGCTCTGCAGGGCGGCTGCCATCTGGCCCAGCTCGATCTGGGCATTGCCTATGCAGCTGTACAGGTTTCCAAGCAGCTCGTCCTTATTGGGCACTTCCTCCTTGCTCCATTCCAGAACCTTCTTCAGCACCTTCTCAGCTTTCTGAAGGCTCCCCTCAGCACTGCCACTGGTCAGCACTAGGAGAGGGAGAGGCCAAGTGTAGGGTTTTGGGGTTTAGGTGTTTTTTTCTTTTTCGGTCATGCCCGGCGACTCTCAGGGGTTACTCCTGGCTCTGCACTCAGGAATTACTCCTGGCAGTGCTCGGGGGACCATATGGGATGCTGGGGATCAAACCCGGGCCAGCTGCTTGCAAGGCAAACGCCCTCCCTGCTGTGCTATGGCTCTAGCCCTGTGCCATGTAGATGGCGGGGAGGGGGGGGCTGGCTGCCTCCCCCACCCACAGCCCCACCCCACAGACCATCCCAGACCAAGGGCCCCAGTCTGCGCTCCCCTCCTCCCCGGGTCCAGGCCCAACCCCCCTGGGCAGGGCACCCACACATGTCGATGTCCTCCAGGCTCTTGAGGATGTAGTGAGCCGTCTGAGAGGGGCGGCGTTTGCGGTCCCGTAGCCACTTCTCCTGCATCAGCGCTCGGTCCCGCTCCCGCGCGTAGATGGGCTTCTGCTGCCTCCAGAAGTTACTGCGGGTGTCCAGGTAGTTGATGCCCGTCAGGATGAGGTCCTCCACTGTCAGGCCTTGCTTGATGGTGCCTCTGATAAGGTCTGGGGTAAGGGTGAGTGAAGAGGAGCCAGCTAGGCCTGGCCCCAGGGGAGCCAGCCCCTCTGGACTTTGAGCCAAGTTTTCTCACCTCCAACCTGAGGGTCAGCTCCCCCCCAACTCCACTGCACCCTGTGGGACAGTGACAGAACGAGGCGAGCGGACCGAGCCAGGAACAAATGTCCCCATTAGCCTGGGGATTCCTGGATCCCTGTGGGGGTTCCTGGATCTGGAACCCTATGTGGAGAGCCTGACCAGGATTTGTGGAAACAGCCAGGGGAGTGAGAGCCTATCAGGAGCAGGGGGCAGGGGCCTGTCAGGCCCAAGGGAAGCTAGAGCACACAGGGTCCAACAGAGCTGGGGGCAATCCGGATGCTAACAGGAGGGGCGCGGGCCCTGGTGACAGCTTCTGGGATAACCCCCCACCCTGGGACTCCTATTCCTCAAAGGTGGCCACAGACCAGATTCAGTCTCAAGGCATGACCCAGTCTGGGCTGCCTGTGCTAACCGGCTCTCCAGGTGTCAAGTGGGCTGGAAGGGTGTGCCCCAGCCCTGCCCAGCTGACTGACCAGAGGTCAGGGCTGGTGGCAAAGTGACACTACGGCAGCAGAGTCACAGGTCAATGCGGAGGCCACCCCATCCCACCACAGATGCAGTCGGGCCTGTTGTGGGTGAGATGTGCCAACACAGAGGCTGCTCCATGGCACAGCGCTACAGGGGAGCCGCGGTGGCCTGGGGGAACGTGAGTTCTGAAGGGAAGACGCTGACTTCGGCTTCAAGAGCAGATCCGCCCTTGGTTCTCGGCAATGGACCAGTACTCCCATCCCCATGCTGATGGGGACATTTGTTCCTGGCTTGGTCCGTTCGCCTCATTCTGTCACTGTCCCACTGGGGTGCAGTGGAGTTGGGGAGAGCTGACCCTCAGGCTGGAGGTGAGGAGACTTGGCTCTAGTGCCCACTCTTCACTACTAACTTGCCGGTCACCTTGGACAACTGCCCACTCAGCATCTCTCGCTCCTGATCTATAAAAGGAGAGCTTAGCAGATGCAGTTCCAGAGCCTTCTAGGGGGCCAGAGAGATAGTACAGGAATTAAGGTGCTTGTGTGGCACGCGGCCAACCCAGCTTTCATCCCCGTCATCCCATATGGTCCCTGAACACTACCAGGAGTGGTCCCTACACATAGAGTGAACATTAAACCCTGAGCACTGCTGGGAGTAGCCTAAAAACAAAACAAAAACACTAAAGCTTCTAGGATGGGTACCCTAGGATTGCTCTGCGAGCACTTGAGGTGGATTCCTTTGTCCCTGTAAAGGATGCAGCCCCCAAGGGATTTTTTTGGGGGGGGTTACACCTGGTGATGTTCAGGGGTAACCCCTGGCTCTGCACTCAGGAATTACTCCTGGTGGTGCTCAGGGGACCATATGGGATGCCAGGGATCGAACCTGGGTTGGCCATGTGCAAGGCAAACCCTCTGCGTTATCACTCCTGCCATGCCCCGAGGGTCTATAGGCCTGGATGAAAAAGGCACCTGCAGTGTTGGCATTCCCTCTGGGCTCATAACTCTGACCATGAATGTTCTATATAAAGATCTGAGTGCTTAAAAAAAAAAAGAGAGAGATCTGAGTGCTGCAGAGTTAGGTGATTACTTGACCTCTTTTTTTTTCTTTTTGGGTCACCCCTGGTGATGCTTAGGGGTTTCCCCTGGCTCTGCACTCAGGAATCACTCCTGGTGGTGCTCTATAGTACATATAGTACACATGGGAACTATATGGGATGCTGGAGATCGAACCCGCACTTGCAAGACAAATGTCCTACCTGACCTCTGTATGCCTCACTTTCCACCTCTGTAAACCCATCTGGAAGGACGTATTGGCTGATATTACACCACAAGCTCTGCCTCTGGCATTTGGCCTCTCCCCACTGCCCACGGCCTTCACCCTGTGTTCTCTGTAATGAACAAAGGACTGAAAACCTTCATCCAAAAGAAGCTTCTCCAGATACTCCTTGTCCGCATAGAGCTCCCCCAGAAGCTGGCGGACAATCTTCTCACTCTTGAATGAGACCTTCCGCTTGGTTTCCTTCTTTGGAAGGGTGATGATCTGTCTCATGGGATGAGGCTTCTGCTGGGCTTTCAGACTCTGCAACAAAAAAGCCACAAGACAGGCCAAGCCTCAGAGGCGAGCTCTGGGTCCCGGCCTCAGCCCTTGAGTCCGTCAACCCCGATTCTCTTTCAGGGTCCCTGTGGCTGGGCACGCTAGAGCAGGGACACTCCGTGGCCTCTGTGGAGTCGGGGCAGAGTTCCTGGCTGCCCCCCAGGGCTCCAGCAAAGAGGCTCCCTCAGACCTGAGCGTCTCTCTCCTTACCTCAGAACTGGACCCCTCACCTCGGCTTGCTTACTCAGGAAGGAGAGGTCCCCTTTGTTCACCAGTTTCACCGAAGAAGGACCTGCAAGGACAGAAGCCAGAGCTCAGGGCTGCAGGCCCCCGGCTCGACCTCTTACTCCTTTTTATGGGGAAACAGCGGATGATAAACAGCGGGGGGGGGCACTCTCCTCAGAGGTAGACAGCCCCCGCTAACCACGGCCCGTAGGCAGGAGGATTTCCAAACTGAGGGAGGAGGCCCTGGACCCAAAGAACATGCTCTTGCACTATTTCCACACCCTGCCACCCACAGGGCAAGCGCTGGCAACTCTCTCTGCTCCCCCTTTCCTTGTGGCCGAGGTGCTGGGGAAGGCTCCCCTTTGGGTGACAGATCAAGCATAAGATGACAAGGTGGAAGCCAGGGCTAGGGAGGGCTGGGATCTAGACACCTCTCTGTTCTCTGACCGTGGACCTGGGATTCTGAGAAGATCCCACGGCCACAGGGCTCAGTAAAAGGGAGCCAGGACATCTTCCAAGTGCCCCATCCCTGGAAATGCACAAGCAGTAGGTTCCCCACAGGCCCAGAAGAGTTTGCCCTAACATTGACCTAGCAGGCCTTCCTCTAAAACTCAGGATGCCAACCATCCTCCCTGGACTGGCAAGGCCCCCCAGGGCACTCACTTCCCACTGAGTTGTTAATGGCTTCCTGGGCTTTCTGAATTCCAACTTTGAATTCCCGATCAGGCCGCAGCTTGTAGCCTCGATGATAGAATACCAGGGCAAACTCAAAGTCTCCCATGGTGTACAGGGTCTCAGCCTTTTGCAAAATTCCCTGCCGTGGAGTCAGAGAGATAGTACAGTGGGTAGGGTGTTTGCCTTGCATGTAGCCGACCCAGGTTTGGTCCCCGGCATCCCATATGGTCCCCCCGAGCCACCAGGAGTGATTCCTGAGTGCAGAGCCAGGAGTAACCCCTGGGCACTGCCAGATGTGGTCCCCAAACAAAAAATATTCCCTGCTATGGGAAGAAGTCAAGCTTTAGGAACTTGGAAGGGACGGAAGAGAGGCTGGTCTAGCAGCATCTTCAACCACATCTTCAACCAATAAGTTGGTTATATTCCAGATGGCTCAGAGAAGCCCGGGTCCTCCAGCCCACAGGGTCACCTTGCAGAAATTCGGGTCATCCTGTAGTGAAGCTTCGGCATCCTGCAGGGATTTCTCCAACTCCCCCATTTTCAGGAAGCACTTGGAGCGGGCAACCAGGCAATTCTTATCTCCGGGCTGAAGGTGAAGTGCCTGAGAAAGGAAGCACTCAGGTGGACAGACACCAAGCAAGGCAAGCGAGAAGCTGGACCGGAAACAGCTGACCAAACCCTCCTGCTAGAAAACAGATCTCTGGACCCATCAGGTTCAAAACAGCACTATCTAGATCTTTTGTTTTGTTTTTGCACCATACCAGGTGTTGCTCAGGGCTCAGTCCTAGCTCTGTGCTCAGGGATCACTCCTGGTGGGCTCAGGGACAATATGATACCGGGGATCAAACCTGGGTTGGTTGCCTTCAAGGCAAGTGCCTTACCCGCTGTATTACCACTCTTACCCAGCCAGGTCTAACCTCCTTTAACTTCACCATCTGCGTGCAAAGCCATCCTCCACAAAAGTAAAATCTCAGGGCAAGAGTGGAGGCCCCTGGCTGGGAAGGGAGACTATGTACCTCTCTAGGTAAAGACTACATTTCCTCAGTCTAGCATTCATCCATTCTACTTGGTAGAATCTCAGGCTTTTTGCTGTGTCTCACATTCAACCACAAATCTGGCGTGACTTTACGTCACAATCCAAATGTTATTCCAAAGGCTAAGTATTCTGCAGGCTAACCAAATCAGTTTGAGGTCAGCTGCACCTTAGGAAATCCAGTCCGTGCACTCTCTCTCTATCAGTTTGAGGTCAGCTGCACCTTAGGAAATCCAGTTCTCTCTCTCTCTCTCTCTCTCTCTCTCTCTCTCTCTCTCTCTCTCTAGGTAAGGTAAGGTAAAGGCCCTCCTGTTGATCGTCGATTTGCTCAAGCGGGCCCAGTAACGTCTCCATTGGAGACTTTGTTGTTACTGTGTCTGGCATATCGAATACTCTCGGTAGCTTGCCGGGCTCTCTGAGAGGGGCGGAGGAATCGAACTCGGGTCGGCCATGTTGGCCGCTTGTAAGGCGAACGCCCTACCCGCTGTGCTATCGCTCCAGCCCCTCTCTCGCTAATTGAGCAAAAATCACTCTTTTGGGAGATGAAGATGAAAATGCCAAGGAAAAAAAAAGGCTGTGGCTTTGTCCCAGAAGTGGGGGTGGAAAGCACTTCTCCTGCTCCCTGAGGTGAGCTCTCTCCCGTTTGAGGTCATTACCCTAGCTGGAGCTATAGTGACCTTGGGAAGGTGTTAGACTGTCCCCAACCCCTTCCAAGGCCTTCCTCTATTTCCAGGAAGAGAAGTAGCTGTGTTTACTGGGAAAAGGCCACTTCTCACCCAAAGCTGTCTTCCTTTGGGGTATTCTTTTCTGCCTTAATTTCTGGAAAATTAATCCTGAAAGAGAATTGGTGTGGTGGGGAGGGGGAGCAGGGATTGAGGGGATGGTGGAGAGCAGGAGTAGGGTTTCGGAACTCAGACGTTGACTCCTGTGGTCACTTAATTCTGGTCTGAAGATGTGACTAGTGACCAAAATAAACAAACACTGTCTTCCTGTTGTTCATCGATTTGCTTGAGCAGGCCCAGTAATGTCTCCATTGCGAGACTTGTTGTTACTGTGTTTGGCATATCAAATACGTGTCATGGGTAGCTTGCCAGGCTTTGGCCTGCGAGCAAGATACTCTTGATAGCTTGCCGGGCTCTCCAAGAGGGGTGGAGGAATCGAACCCGGTTCGGCCGGGCTGGCTGCATGCAAGGCAAAGGCCCTACCACTGTGCTATCGCTCCAACCCTGACTGGTGATCAAATAGGACAAAAGATTGGGTAACAGTGGAGAAGCTTGCTTTTAGAGGGAACTTTGGGCCTGGTTACTGGCCTATCCCATCACTCCCCTTAGGAACAAAAGTTGACTGTTATTCTAAAAAAAATTGTCCTAAGAACATTTAACAGTTCACTAGCCAGGCAGACTGTTTATAATGGTTAGCACTACCACACCACTGTCTTCAACTGCTATGTCAGTTTCTTCATTATAAAATGGAGCAGTAACAGATCTTCCCTCTGGCCTTAGCAGATACCCAAAAACAGCCTGGTATCCTAAAACAGTACTGGATCCTATCGGTTGGAGTGCAACAATGGACTCTCCCATTATGTAAAATAAGGTTATTTAGGGACACTTCCTGGACTGAAGCGATAGCACATCGGTTAGGGCATTTGCCTTGCACGCAGCCAACATGGCCGACCCGAGTTCGATTCCTCTGAGAGCCTGGCAAGCTACTGAGAGTATCTTGCCCACAGGGCAAAGCCTGACAAGCTACCTGTGACGTACTCCATATGCCAAACACAGTAACAACAAAGTCTCACGATGGAGACGTTACTGGCCCGCTTGAGAAAATCGATAAACACCGGAAGGACAATGACAGTGACAGTGACAGGGACACTTTCTGTGAGCCCAAGATTTCACACCTGTAGCCTCCTATTCATGTCCCCTAGCCAACAACGAGCAATTGAGACTGCTCTATGGAAGGTGGCCAGGCCATCACAAATTATTTCGTTCTTTTAAAAAACAGAGTTTGGGGCTGGAGCAATAGCACAGTGGGTAGGGCGTTTGCCTTGCACGCAGCCAACCCGGGTTCGATTCCCAGCATCCCATATGGTCCCTTGAGCACCTCCAGAGGTAATTCCTGAGCACAGAGCCAGGAGGAACCCCTGTGCATTGCCGGGTGTGACGCAAAAAGCAAAATAATAATAATAATAATAATAAAAATTTTAAAAATAAAAAAATAGAGTTAGGGCCAGAGAATAGTACACTAGGTAGGGTGCTTGCCTTGCATTTGGCCGACCTGGGCTCTATCCTCAGCATTCCATATGGTCTCTGGAGCACCACCAGGAGTGATTCCTGAGTGCAGAGCCAGGAGTAACCCCTGAGCATCATGGCCCCAAAACAAACAAAACATGTGAGCCGGGACTGTTCATGCAGAGAAGAGGGTTTTCTTCGTTTTGTTTGTGATGCTGAGCATCGAACTCAGGGCCCCACACGTACAAGGCAAGTGCCATACCGGTGAGCTACAAGGCGAGTTATTCAACCAGCAGCAAGGTGCAAGTGGAAATAGGCAGATTGTGGGCCCCTCAAGGGCGACTCTGGGACCCGTCAAAGAGATAATTGAAATGACAACCACCCTGCCAGAAATTATGGGGGGGCGGGGGGGGGCGACTGAGAGCTACCGGGAGCGGAAAGTGCGGTAGGACTCACGTTGCTGAAGCTGTGGGCGGCTTTGGAGAACTCCCCGCAGAGATAGAGCCGCTCGCCCTCGGCCATGTACGAGGGAAAGGTGCTTCGCAAGCCTTCCGTCTCAGTGTCGGCCATGGTGGCGAGGTTCCGGGAGCCCCCACACCGGGCAGGGACCGAGAGAAGCCGGAGAACTTCGGTCTGGGTTGTGGAAGCCCGTCTCCTAGCAACCGGGGGACGCGATGACTTCTGGCCCCGCCCCCGGCCGTCTGAGGGTCCGAGGCCCGGGAACAACCGCCGCGGGTGTGCGCATGCGCGTGCGGTCGCGTCCGGGACAGGGGAGACCAGCGCCAGGACGGCGGCGCCGCGTGGCCGCGCGTGCTCCTCTCCCGAGTGAGTGGCCTCGTGGGCAGGATGCACCGCCCGGAGAGCCTAGAGATGCTTAAGGGGGTAAATTTCAGATGAGGGATAGGGCTTTCACTGTCAGGATGTGTCCGCCGCGTAAGGTGACAGGGGAGAGCTCAAGACTTGGCCGCGCCGCGCTGTCTTCACCCCCCTGACTGCATCCCTGCTCCCGGCCCCGAGCCCCTCTCCTCCTGCCAAATGAACCTGAAAATAGCGATACCTTTAGCGTGTGAGGATCTGCGTGAGAGTCCGTCGGATATGCGGCTGCGGTCACTTGAACCTTTCATTGGCTGTCCGCTGGTGATTGGCTTTGAATCTTCTAGACTTTTATCCCCATTTCTTTGTAACCCAAAGCGGATGCACGAGGTCCTAGGGTCCAACAAACACCTTCTTGCATCTGCAGCATGGCTTTCGAAAAAGGGCGCCTGTGGCCCTTGCCTTGCACTCTTGCCTTGCACATCAACTTGGCTTCAATCCCCGGCCCCACGTATGGTCCCCAGAGCTCTGCCAGAAGTGACCCCTGAATGCAGAGCCGGGAGTAACCCCTGAGCGTAGCCGGATGTGACTCCCCAAAAAACATGAGCCAGAGTGATAGTAGAGCAGATAGGGCATTCTCCTTGCACGTGGCCCACCCGGTTTCCTTTCCTGGGCATTTTCTATGGCCCGCCCAGGCCCTCCAGGAGTGATTCCTGAGTGCAGAGCCAGGAGTAAACCCTGAGCATCCCCAGGTGTGCTCCCATCCCCCCCCCCAATAAATACATAAATAAATACAGGTCAGACCTTTCATCAAGACAGGACTGAACCTTGCCTTTTCAGAGTTCCACTAAAGTGGAAGGGGAAACTTTACCTGGCCTTATCTGGTCTTAACCATGTGTTCTTAGAATTCAGTTACCCCACTATGTAGCAGGAGCTAAATAAAGTCTTGGTAAAGCTTCAACAATCTAAGGTCTCCTTAGCACATATATACCTGCATATAAATGCATGTATGTACAAATGAGTAATGTAGACCTGGGGGGTTGTGGCTGGAGAAAAAGCACAGAGGTAAGGATCTTGCCTTGCATTGTGGGCATTAGATCCCTGGACGCTGCTTACTGTTTGTCCCTTCCCCCACAGCCTTCCCAGGATTGGCCTCTGAGCAGAGAGCCAGGAGCAGCCTCTGGGTACCTCTGGATATGCCTCAAATCCTCCAAAAGGGGAAAGAAAAAAAAATGTCTGATTAAGATAAGTGGATTGATGCTGCCAATTTTGTGATGTTATTGTACTAGTGTGAAACCATTGGGGAAAGTTGGGTAAAAGGTAATTGATATCTTTTTTATGTATTTGCTACAACTGCACATGTTTCTACAGTAATTGCAAAAAAAAAATTTTTTTTTGTGGTGCTCAGGGACAGTTCCTTGCTCTGTGCTCAGGGGTTACTCCTGGTAGTGCCAGAGACTGCAAGGCAAGTGCCTTCCCTTTGTATTATCTCTCTGGCCCTGTATTTTTGGGGGTGGGGGGAGGAGAAAGTTGAAGCTTAGAAGTAAATAAAAGAATACCTTTAGTACCAGGATAAAAGTTATATGGTTCTGGGGCTGGAGTGATAGCACAGTGGATAGGGCGTTTGCCTTGTACGCGACCAACCCAGGTTCGATTCCCAGCATCCCATATGGTCCCCTGAGCACCGCCAGGAGTAATTCCTGAGTGCAGAGCCAGGAGTGACCCCTGTGCATCGCCAGGTGTGACCCAAAAAGCAAAAAAAAAGAGTTACATGGTTCTTTCCCTAGAAAAATTATGCCTAATCGGGGCCAGAGAGGCATAATAATAATGATCACCCTGAATGATGCCAATTATTCAAACTTCTGTGTCCCTCCAAAGGAGGTGAGAACAGAGGAGTAAATGAGTTGGTGAAGATGTGGAATGAGGGGTTATAGAGACAGTTCACTGAGCTGAGGGAAAAGGGATAGCTCGCATACAGGAAACCTACAGAGGAAAGGATGGAGCAGAATTCATTGTGCAAGGAGTAGCAACTCTTCACACTAAAATGAAACCCGTCCTGTGCTAGGTTATGATGGACACTGGTGAGTTGAACATACCGTTGTAGTGAATAGCAGAAAATCTCATGTAAGACAAACTCTCTAGATTCAACCCAATCCCAAGCAAAATCTCAATCCTTGACAAGCAGGTCCTAAATTTGTGTGAAAGTGTAAAGGACCTAGAGTAGCGAAAATACTACAGAGAGACTGTACAGGGGTTAAGACTCTTCCCTTGCATGGGGTTGATACCAGTTTGATACTTGACATCGCTTAGGTCCTTCAAGCTTGGCCAAGACTGACCCCTGAGCACTGTCATGTATGGTCCACCCTTCAAAAACTAAACCCTCAAATAGTTTGCAGGTGGGGGGTGGAGTTTGCGGCGGGGCCACACCTGCCTGTGCTCAGGACTTACTCCTGGCTCAGTACTCAGGGATTACTCCTGGTGGGCTAGGCGAACCATATGGGGTGCTAGGGATCAAACATGGCTTTGCTGGAACTGGAGTGATGGCACAGTGGGTAGGGCGTTTGCCTTGTATGCGACTGATCTGGGTTCGATTCCCAGCATCCCGTGTGGTCCCCCAAGCACCGCCAGGAGTAATTTCTGAGTGCAAAGTCAGGAGTAACCCCTGAGCATCGCTGGGTGTGGCCCCCAAAAAAAGGGGAAAAAACATGGCTTTGCTGTGCACAAGACAAATGCCCTACCTGCTGGACTATTGCTCTGGCCCCTTAAGATTTATGTTAAAACCACAGTGAGTGGGCAGGGAGTGCATCTCTGTGAGGGCTCATGCCTTGCCTGTATGAAGTCGTGCTTTCCATCCCCCTGCATACATATCCACTCCCCCCAGATTGAAGCTGCAATAATGGTACTAGTCCAAGGATCATGCTGTAGACCAATGGAAGAGAGTAGAGCCTAGAAGTAGAATCACAAATGTGAATAATTAATGATAGACAAACTTTTTGAGGAAAATGGATGGAAAAGGACCACTTTTTCCACAAATGGTGTGGAAACAGCTGGATAGCCATATGTCAAAATGAAACAGAAAAATCCTTGATCCTTACATATATAAAAACTAACTCAAAAGATTTAAATGTAACAGGTAAAGTGATTAAAAACTAGAAGAAATAGGTCACTTGATCATTTGACATCCCGTTACTCATCAGTTTGCTCAAGCGGGCGCCAGTAACATCTCCATTCATCCCTGTCGCGTGCTAGTGTAGCCCAATGGCATCTACTTGTTCTAGGAACACAAAGAGCCTCAAACCGATCATTCAGGGTCTTGACAAAGAAGTCTGACCATCTCGTAGGTGGGCGGCCACGCAGTCTTTTGACGTCCCATGGAATCCAGTCGGTAATAGCTCTAGTCCAGTGGACGTCTCCAAATCTCATTACATGTCCAGCCCATCTGATTTTCGATGCCTTGGCAAATGAGACAGCGTCCCTGATTCTTGACCATTGACAGAGGTCGGAACTCCAGATTCTTTCTCTCATTTGGGTGATACGTGATATTCCAAGCATAGCTCTTTCAATTCCTCTTTGGGAGACCTGAATAGCGTTCTCATCCTGTTTTCTTAGGGTTCAGGTCTCTGAGGCGCATGTTAATGCAGGAAGAACAGTGGAATTGAAGAGATGTGTCCAGAGCCGGAGATTCTTTGTCCTCTTAGCTATTTCTTTGACGCTCTTGAAGGCGTTCCAAGCTGCTCTCTTCCTCCTGCACAACTCAGGTGCCGGGCCATTTGTCATGTTGACTTCTCAACCTAGGTGCACATAACTGTTACATTCAGAGATGGTCGTTCTGTTGAGAGCGAGTGGAATGTCAGGAACGAGACTGTTTCTCATAAACATTTTGTTTGTGAGATTCAGTTGGAGTCTGACCTTTTCACACTCACGGTTGAAGTCGGCCAGCATTTGTGCCGCTTGGCTAATGTTTGGTGTTATTAGAACGATGTCATCAGCAAAGCGAAGGTGGTGTAGCTGCCGACCGTCTATCTTCACTCCCATTTCCTTCCCATTCCAGTCGTCGCATGACGTTCTTGAGGGTGGCACTGAAGAGTTTCGATGAAATGCTATCACCCTGCCGAACTCCTCTCTTGACAACGATGATCACTTCTTTGTAGAATGGTGAGATCCTGGTAGTGAATCTGTAATACAGCTCACGGAGGATCCTGATGTATTGAGTATGAATGCCCTGATTGGCTAGGGCTTCGATGACCACTTCTGTCTCAACAGAATCAAAGGCCTTCTTTAAATCAATGAACGTTAGACAAAGCAGCATCTTGAACTCCTGAGAAACCTCAATGAACTTGGTTATCATGTGGATATGGTCAATTGTGCTGAATCCTTTGTGGAACCCTGCTTGCTCGCATGGTTGTCCTTCATCTAGTGTTCTGCCAATCCTATTCAGGATGACTCGAGTGAACAGCTTGCAGATGACAGACAATAGGCAGATCAGGCAATAGTTGCCAGTGTCGTGGATGCCTCTCTTCTTGTACAGTAGTACAGTCCTCCTGCTAGTTTTCCATTGGGACAGAACCTTGCATTCAGACAGATAGTGTGTGAAGAGCCGAGCCAGTGTATTGATGAGTACTGACGGCAGGTTCTTCAGGTGTTCAGGTCTGACCTTGTCTGGGCCAGGTGCTGTTCGTTTCTTTACTGATGAAATGGCATGTCGGATTTCGGAAGGGAGAACGTTGGGAACGACATATCCATCCTGTGGAATTTGG